GTTCGGAGTATTTTAGCTTTAAAAACGGGTGTCGGTAATACGATCTAAAGAGGGTCAATATTATGTACAAAATTATGTCAGTATAAAGTTTTAATTTTGATATTCATTTTAATTAATAAAAATAATTTCTTTATACTTTAAAATTGTTTAAACTATTTCTGTCGAATGAAAATCGATTACATTTGTGAAAACTTATATCTGACTGCGACCTTTTTACCTTTTTAATAGTGATATTCGTCTAACAAATTGTGTGTCAATATTGTATACAATACTGTCAATAAAACAGTACAATTCGCTTTCTAAAAAAATGCTTTGAAATTACTGTAAACGTTAACGTCATAACAAATATCACAACGGAAATGGTTCTTTTTAAATAAGAAAAGGAGTCCTTTTTAATAACCCGAAATGTTGTTCCAAAAATTAAGAATGGGTTGCTCTCGTTACGTACTTAATACATAAATAGTCTTTGTTAAAGCAAAAAGCAGCTTTAGAATAGGCTTATTAGCAGCTTTAGAATATATTGATATGATTTCTTATAATTTCGTGTGATCGGTACATCATATTTTAGGTATTATTTATAAGAATACATCTGTAGCAAATATTACTTATAATACTTTATAAAAAATTATATAATTTCGAATTAGATTTTCATAAATATCTTTTAAAAATTTTTATTTATTCATTGTTGCATATTAAGACTACTAGCAAAAGTACATTCTACAGTAATAATAAATTCAAATCAGCTGAATTTCACATATTTTTACCTTTAATTCAATAAAAAATATTTTTTTTATTTTTGTTTGAATTATAATATGATAAATTTTTAATTTTTTTTTTAAATAAAATGAAATATCCGTAGAAATCCAAATTATTATTCCATTTTTATTGAATATTATCATTTTAACCATTTTAAACCATTATTCATATATAGAATATGGATTACAGCATATAAAATTACATTGTCAGTATTAGGAACACAAACTGTCAGTAATAGACACAAACATTTGCGGTTATGTCAATATTAGGAACATTTTTTCTCTTCGTCTTTAATCGAAAAATTATGAATTAAAAAATATTTTGATTAAATAATTTTATAAAAAACATTATTCCCAATTATCCAAATTATTCAAAAAATCGGAAATACGATCATTTATTGTGTCCCACATATAAAATATCTCACGCCAAAGTTGAATTTGTTGCGAAATATGTCAGTAATAGGGACACTTACCTACGTATACTTAGACTTTCATAGCCGATTCTACACGTTTATTACTTCAATATACTTATAATAAAGTATATACATATACATACATATGTATGTACGCAATATATACATATTGGTACATACATATATCCACTTATTTACAAAAATCCTTTTTGAAACTAAAACAAAACGAAATAAACATCAATCATTTGGTATTATCGATCAGAAAAATTTTTTTTTTTGGATTAATTCCAATAAACTATAAACTATACCTATACAACACAGAAAATAAAATATTGTACTTATTGCTTTCATTATCCTTAGCAACAGCCATATTACCAGTATAAAAATGCCCGTAAATATGTACGTTGAAACAAACAAACAAATATACATACATAATATACGTACTTAATAAGTAATACATGTACTAAAGTTTTTGCATAAGTTTTTTAAATATATGAATAAAAAATGTATAAATAGGTATAAATAAATGTATAACGGTATATTCGCATAGTATATAGTGAATTAAAGAGAAATAAGATGTATATGTATATGCATATGCTTTTAAAGTTGAGACTTGCGACTGACAAATTCCTGAATGCTTCTTTATTGCCTTCCATTATCCCTTGCCACAGATACAACAATCATTTTGTAACTAAAAATCAAAAGCTAAAATTTTTTTTTAGTTTTACGAAGCAGTGATGAAAAATGAAACAATGAAGAAATTTTTTAATTCTCCAAGGGTCAAGTAATTACGACATTGGAAATGAATATTATTTATATATCGTAAAGAGAAAAAATTACATATGCACATAAGTTATTCGTTTAAGAGAACAAAAGATACAAAAATAAAGGAGATAATTATGTACTTAGTACGAATTTCCTTTTATTTATGGATTTTTAGACCCGCCTTTAAGTCAATGAATTTAAATCTTTCCGAAATGAAAATACTAAAACTTGTTAAACTTGTAAGATTAAAGTTATAATTTTGTAAATTTTACTACGAGAACCCAAACATCAAATTTCACCAATGAAGATTAACATATTTTGACTAATCTTTTAATTATTAAGTATCTTAACAAATTGATAGAATCAGAAAATTTGTCAATTAGATAATTCTTTCCTTCAGTTAAGAATCAAAACTAAGTAATAACAATTCTGAATTTTACTGGTAAAATGTATTTCTAGTACCTACCTGTTCTTTTTCGATTATTGAGACAAAATTTTAACATCTAGTTTTACTTTTAGATAAAATTATGCGTGAACATTAATTTTTTAAAGATTTTCTTAATCATGAAAAAATTGAAATAAAAAATGTTACTTAATATATATACCTTTGCCGCAGAATTTATATAAATTAAAGCACGTGCCCTTTTATATATGAAAAATAAGTATATTCCTTAAAAATAATACCAGAAAATTAGATTTATTCGGCGGATTGTATTTGTATACATTTATAGAATATGAAAAACAAAAAGAATAGAAGACCATGTAAAAGAAAAAAACGAAATAAATAAGGATATTAAAAAAATTTACGTATCTTGTATTTTATTATTTTGATATAAAAAAAATCATAAAGTTTTTCGTTTTTTTTTTTCGTTTCAGTGACATCTGATTTAGAAAACCTTGAAATTTCCCATTCTGTCTCGCATACTATCATAAAAAAACCAAATCAATTTTAAAGGAAATTAAGTACTGCAAACATTTATTTTTAACAATTTTGCAGGTATATATGAACAAGGTATTTCCGTTTTACGTGAGCTACAAAGTTATAGCTCATTTTATTAAAATATAACAATTTTTTCAAATTTTTCAAAGGCATGTGATACCTATAATTGAAAAGTTCAGGGTGGTCAAAATAAATTTATACTTACATATGTGTTTATATATACTTAAACTTTTGCAAATTTTCCACACTTAGAATTTGTGAGCAAGTGTATAAAATATACTGTATATAGGAAAAACCAACTATAAAATAGGTGAAAAGGAATTGAGGTTTGCATCTGAATCGATTAAGATCATTGATACATAAATTTTTACCCCTGTAATGAAACATTTTAGTTGACCTAATATTCGAATTTGAAATAAAAACAGAGAAAAAAACGCCTCACTTTTGCACGCACAGTTAGATTGTCTATGTAAGTAATTATTTAACTAAGTCAATTGCTCTATGTTTTAAATACAGTAGTCAATTATTTTATTTTAATACAAGTACGTAAGTATTTAAAATGCATACTTACATTTACAAATACATTTTAACATGCTGGTGTTACATATCTAATGTACAATAAATACTTACATACATAATTAATAATTAAAAAGTTAAATACAAATCAATCATAAAATCATTAATATCGGGGGGACGTTGTTATTTAACACATGTAAAGAATAAGTGTATAATATATAAAGTATGAACTTTATATAATTACTCTTTTAAAAAAGCTGGAGTAAGTTATTTGATGTGCATCTTCACTGTACACCGTTAAAAGAAAATAAAGCCAAGGTTATATCACTTGAAAAAATTATTGCGAATTTTAATTAATCTTTATTTGAGAATAAAGGGATGAACAATTAAAAATAAAAAACGTTTAAGTATTTTGCATTTCCTTTATCCTTATTATGGATTTTGAGCATAAGAGAATGGTCTGAGTTAAATGACTTAAAAGCACAGTTCTTGTAAAACAATGTTAAAAAAATTTATTAATTAAAAATAAAAAACTTCCACCATCCTCAACTTTCATTTACACTTTGTTTTTTTCTTTGGATTTTAAATTTTTTGCAAATAAAACTGCAAACATAGTTCATATTGCTTCCTTTACAAACAAAGGAATGATTAATTTTAGTACTCGAAATTTAATCATCTTATCCTTTTTTGTACTATTCGAAATCGAAAACCTCAAAATGTTTACTATAAAAAAAACCACAATATTTAGTAAAACAATAAAGTGAAAATTTCGATAAAAAATAATAAAAAAACAAAAACTAAAAGAATAAGTAGAATTTTGAAGAAACACCATTTTTGACGTGAGAAGTTGCACGTATTTACCACAAAATAAAAGAAAAATATGTAAATAAAAGAAATGGCGACGATTTTACGACAGTGGGTAAGTAAAGAGAATTAAAACTGCAACTTTTGAGCTATTACTTTGAATATTTTGAAAATAAACACTTTTGGAACTATATAAGTAAGTACATATATTTTATCATACTAAATTTTATTTGATTTAACAAAAACGTCAAGTAATAAGAAATTTTAAAATTTCTGGATTTAAATTTATAATAAATTGGCAATTTTAATCGCAGGTAAACTGCTTCAAAATTTGAACAAACAAAAAAATAATCGTGAACAAAGGATTTTTTTTAGTTCCGTTGAAAAAAAAAAATTTTTTTTAAAAGTGATCTTAAATTTATATTTATAATTTGCTATGCAACAGACTTTCAGTATTCCTATCTCTAATTCTATCTTATTAAATCTTTTATAATCACAAATTTCAAATGAAACTTTATAAATATTGAAATCGATTTTAAATTAATTGAAATTTTATTACAAATTCATTGTAAAGAAATTGATTGCAAACTACTCTAATCTTTATATCCACAAAAAGATTTTAGGTATTACTCGTATGTGCATTATGTTCTGGTGACATGACAGTCATTTTATTTTTTTGATAAGGAAGACTACGATATGATTTTTTCTCTCCTCAATTTAATGACGTGTATCGTTTTTTTTAATTGAATCAAATTAAAGACCACATTTATAAATTTCTACAAAAAATTTTAATTTTTTGAAACTTACCAAATTTTTACTGACATCTTCTTGTGCCTTTTCAGCTTTTTTATCGCCTCGTTCTAATGAGTTGACAGCTTCCTTAAGAGCTTTCACCAGCTCAGCTGGACTTTTTTGGGATTTACCGAATAATGGCATTTTGATTATATTTAGTATGTGATTCGTTATTGAAATATTTTTTTTAAATACAATTATAATTAAATTAAGTTTTATATAAATTTACTTAGTTGGTTATGTTAATTTTATTTTAAATTTATTGTATATTTAGTTTCTAATTAATTTATTAATAAAATCTACAAAAATTTTTCTTTTTAAAGTTAAACTAGGTATAATTTGTTTTTTCTTTTTTACTTGTATTTATTTTTTATTTAAATTTAATATATACAAATGTTATATATAGGTACCTATATAATTTTTTGAATATAGGTAAGTATATAATTTGAAACTGTATACAATTTAAATTACTTATATATTTTTGTGTTGATACAAAATAATAATAATAAAAAATCCTAATGCTTTAACACTATAAGCATAGAAATATGTATATTATATTATACAAAATAAAACACTTGCTTTCAATAATATTTTCCTTTATTTATTTATAATTGTTTTTAAATAAGTAGCATAATGCCGAATATATTTATCGATATATATATTATATAGCATTAACGTAGTCATGTAAATACACACATGTGGATTTGTTTGTATAAAATAAATTAACTTATGCACTTGACAATATATGTACATATGTATATACTCTTGCATGCATACATATACCTTAATTTTAGGAAATAGGTAATAAATGTTTACGAAAAGAATAATAATAATAAAGAAAATTTTTAAGGAACCTAAACAAATTTTGGAGCAAATTCATAAATTTTTGGAAGTAAGTGTATGATGGGTAACAATTTTTTTTTTATTTGCAACCGATAATGAATGACGTTTTTTTACGATTTTGTGTTAAAATTAAATAACATTTAAAATTAAATAACAAAATATATATTCAGATAAGTATATATATATGTATACATATATGACTGTGCAAGTACAATTTTTAATAAATAAAAAAAGAAAAATATAAAACTTTTTATTGTCAAAATGAAAATTTTATGAATTGACGTCAAAAAGAATTTTTTTGACAGTTTTTTTTTTTAATTTTTGTTTTCGCTTATTTCGGTATTAAATGAAATTCAATTTTTTTTTTCACTTAAAAAAATTTATAAGCTTGAGATCACCTTTTTTTGTATTAAATAATATAAAATTTATAATATATAAGTAATAAATTTATTAAACCTCTTTTTATTTTACAAAAAAACCATTAATATTGTTTTCATATTTCATTTTTGCTGGAAAACTTGATGCACTTGCATTGAATTTATTATGCAAAACTAGTTTAATTTGTAACTTTTATAATTGTTATATTTATTCTTCAATTACACAAGTCTTTTTTCATTTCAACTTCAAAATTAAAAAAATTTGTTAGTACCTATTTCGAAAATCATAACCTCAAAATATATTGAATATTTTATTATATTTTTCTTATATTTTTTTTTTAACAAATCATCGGTGAAAAAATAATTTGTAATATACGTATAGGAACATAAAAACATGCATAAAAGAAAAATTAAATAGCTATTGAATTAAAAAAATATTAATTTCAAAATAAAATAAAATAATTCGAATTAGTATTTGCAATGTCTGAATTTTAATTTTATATCAAAAATATTTGATTCTTTTTTAATTTGTCACTATAAAAATTAAAAAAATTTATCTAATTTCAATTCTAGGTTAATTAAGTTTTGCCTTAATGGCTCCTTGTCGTTGGTAGTTACTTTAAACTATCGCCGCCTTAATAATTCTAGGTAGGTACTTTATGTAGAATTGAATTTTTCAATATGAATTCTACTTTCATACACTTTTATTATATACATACATATACACATATATGGCATATCATATATATATATATACTTTCTTCTTTTTATATATCTTTTGGTTTTTTATATTGGAAATAGTTTATATGTATGTAAATTTTTTTCGTATTAAAAAAATAGTATAAATAAAAAACCAAATACTTTTGGGGAAAAACGGAAAAAAATTGTTCTAATGAATTCGGCAGAGTTAATAAAAAATTTTTTCTTTGTTTCTAATATTCGAAATTAGCTTTACAAACTATTCTAAAGAAATTTTGTATTATTCTTTTTCTTTTTTTAGAAAGTTTTTCCTTTTTTAATCGACTACAAAAATTAAAAAAGTTTTTAACGACACGACGATTTTCTCTTGACTGATTAAATTAAAATGTCAAATTGTCATTTACACAGTAATACCAACCAATTACGTTAAAGTGTAAAGTTACCAAATTAAAACGAAAATCTTTTAATATTGATTTTACATGACATAACTATGTTAATTTATAAATAGAGCCACATTTAACTATTTGATAGAACTTGAGTATGTAGACACTTTATATATGAATTTTAAATGAATGAACTAATAAATTGCAATCAGGGAGTATCTTTTAATTATTGATTGTCTTTCTGAATTCATTAGTTCTAACTTACCATTAGTTCTAAATTGTTAACTTATATTTAATCTAAATATCTAACATTTTGGCTATAGTTTTGACATATTTTGAACCAACTTTAATAGTCAAAACAATATTTTATTTGCCTCGTTTTATTTATGTACGTTTTTCAGCTAAAGTTACAAAATTAATTTGTACTCTTGAATTACTGATGCTTTTTCTGCGATAGCTCGATTAAGTTTCTTTTAAACTGTTTTCCGCCTCTAATGAATATTTGAATATGTATAAACTTTTAAATCTGTTATAGTCAACATTTTCGCCTACACTTTCAAATTTTTATTTCTGAAATTCAATTAAGTACTCTGGAGCCATCAAGATGGTTCAGAGTACCAAATACATAATCAGAGATATGGTTTTGTTTTTGTATGTATTTTGTATGTATACGTTTTGTATGGTAAATCCTCAAAATTTGTATGTTATATTGCAGTAAAAACAGAAATAAAAATTTGAATATGAAATATTTTGACATTTATTTTTCACATAAAATTTCAAGCCATCTTCAGAAATAAATGTGTGAAAACTCTATTTACTCCTTTGTATAGACTTCTCCTTCGTAGAGAAAAGCTCGTGTAGTTGAAGTGGAAGTTTAGTAAGCCCTCATACTCTATTAAGTTGGATTTATTTTTTCACCGATTTGGATCAACAATATGCATTGTTTTTCATAGCTCAATAGTAAATCAACCCTTATCTTTTAAATGACAGTGGCAATGCTAGTCTAGCAGAATTTCTATTCTCATTTTTTCTCATTTCCCACTCATTTTCATTTAAAGAATTAAGACAGCTTTTGCAAATCAAGCAAAATTGTACGATTCAGTTTGAAACGAAAATATTTGATTTGAAAATACTCAATTCAATAACACTAAATCGAATGAGAAGAATATAATTTTCCATCCAATTTTTTGACAGCTGAAACATTACTAAAATTTTTGTAGTATTGTAATCAGCTAATGCAATGTATATATCTATTAGGGTACCAAGCTGAAATTACCTTTAGAAATTTTGCCGGAAAAAATTGCAAAAACAATTCTTTTATTATTTTATGAAATTTTTGAGTATTCTTTGGGACCTAGTGGTTCATTAAAAGCGATTTAATTATGATATTTTTTGTTTTGCTTAATTTTTTCAATTTCTTTTTAAACTCAATTCCTTATTCAAAAACTTTACTCATTTATTCAGTACCCTTTCATTTTGAAGACAATAAAGGTTGTGGAATTTTTTTTAAGCAGATGATATTTACCAACCAAAATTTTTGAAATTTAAATTTTGAATTGAAAAAGATATGTAGAATCAGCAGAGTTAAAAATATTTATCAATTTCCTTCACACAAGTAATTTGCGACACCCTTTCCATTCAAACTCCATATATACTTGGAATTTATTTTTGATTTGCTCTTTAAGCTTGGTGGTGTATACACACATAAATCCCATACGTCAATTATGTCGTAAAGAATAACAAAAGTGACAGCAAATATGAGCAAATCAAATTTGATTTGTAAACACTAATTCGATTAGTTGTCCTATTTTGCTTGATTTGTAAACCGTACCAAATTCAACAGAACTCATATATTTAAACAATTTTTAAAAGGAACCCAATGCTTCTGGCTAGGCTTACGTTTAGCTATAAATGTGCATCCTGATTATGTTTATAGCTTAAAGTAAAAGCTAATTACTCATTTTTTGCAGAGACTAAAGTAATAAGCATAAGCAAATTAAACTGCCAGCAAAAAATTACGTTTCATTCCCATTAAGGGGAGTGCATGAAGTACATACGTAACTTTAAGGCACTACTGCAATTTGTTTTACTTGCTAATTTTGAATCTGCTGCCTGTCAAAATTAAACACTTGACAGCAAATTTAACATGTAGGTGCTATCTGACTAAACAAAATTAAAAAACGTTATAATAATAGATAGAAACCACCTAATGCATAATATTTTTTCATATTATTTATTTGATACTCGGCATCAAATTCATGGCTACAACATGTATATTGTATAAAAATTTTAATAGAAATTTTTTTGTTTGTTTGAAACTTTCTTTTTTAGAAAGGAGAAAAGAATATAAAATAAGGGTAGAGCTGCTTCGCCTGATTTTAATGAATTCTTATAGCAAGTAAAAAGCTCAAAATTAAAAAAAATATTTTTTAGATTAGCAGATTCTTCGGATGATTTCAAAAGTTTTTGAGCTAAAAAGTCACAAATTTAGCTTGTGGGGAACTGAATATTAAAGTTATGGAACAATAAGCAAATAGAATGTAGGTTAAATGATTGCTTTAAAAAATGTACAACAATAAATTATACAAATAATTGTGAATTTCTTTTTTGAATCATTTTACTATATTGAATTTCTCTACAAGTTTCAGCAAGCAACATGTTTGACATTTAACTTCAACACAGACAGTTAATGTGTTGCTGCAACTTTCAAAATAAATTTTTTCTTTTGAATTTTTCCTTTATTTTTATTCCGGTAAACAGGTTCAACAGCCAGAGCCAGTAATATTTTATTTCAGTATTTAATTAACGTCGTTATAGTGTGCAACTTATAATTTAATTTATAATATTAAGAATTTATATTATATATTCATTAAAAAAAAATTAATATACAGGAAAATAAAAGAAAATTATTTCACATTTACATTTATGCATACAATCGTTTGATATTTTAATAATAAAATATTAAATAATAAGAATAAATATGAAGAAAATTCTAATTTTAATAATATATTTATATAATGTTTGTTATTGTGTACCTGTTGATGTCGTCGACACTGATGGAGCAAATAATAACGAAACAAAAATAGAGGAGAAGCAAATCTTAATTATTATAAGTTATGATGGTTTTAGAAATGAATATTTACATAGGAATGTTACACCAAATATGTTGGATTTTAGAGAAAATGGTAAGAAAATTAAAATAGCGATCAAGAAAACAAAGATTTTTTTTATAAAAACGTAAAAAAAATAAAATATGTTAAAATTCAAGTCACTTTCCCTTGACTTTGGAATATTTTTAATAGCTCTGTATATCTATTTTTTGTTATTGAATTTTAATAACAAGAAAATTCACTTTCTTTTTGGTATATTAGAGGCTATTTAAATCTTTTTTGAAAGAAAAAGAAAAGCTTAATAGTTAATATTGCTATTAGGCAGGCATTAAATAGTGAATAAATTCGAATGTAGGCAGGTATGTAAATAAAGTGTTATGAGTATCACAAAATTTTTAAATTGAATTAATTTTAATATTTCTTATACATAGCTATATTTACTTGTTGTCCTCTTTCTTTTTTGCTTCTGGATGATTATTTGAGATGTATTTAATATGAACTGTTTTAAATAAATAATAAGATGATGAATTTTATTGTGAGAGAATTAAATTAAGCGAAAATGAATTGTTTTTCATTATTCGTATGGAATGCTTTGCAACAATATGAGTAATTTTTAATCTCTATGTTATTATTAAATTCAAACCATTAAATATTCTAGATAAAAGAATAAAAGTACATACGTACTTACCTATAATATTTTTGCGAGTGCTCAAAGTTTTAACTATACATATTTATTGTTTTTATTGTTTATAGTATTGTTCTTTAAAAAAATTAAACAGACATTTTTGAGCTTAACTAAAATTATTTAGCTATTTAAAGTATAAATATAATATTTATGTATACTTAGGTATATTCTAAGTAGTAACAAATATATAAAATAAGAAAATCTTTCAATATGGTTAACTACAATTTTTTATTAACTAAATTTTAATAGATATATGAGATTTGTACGTGGAAAACACGGAAAAATAATTATAATCGCACCTTGGCTTTATAGTAATACATATTGTACAGGTACCTACATAAGTAGTAGTTTTGTATAAGAGTAAGAAAATTAAAGAAAGTTTCACAGATAATTGCAAATTTGCCGCTTAATTATTTAAAATGTAAGCAGTTTCAAAATAATGTGTGAATTACACATTAAATTTACAATGTAAAAAAATTTTAAAATATAAATGCATATGTTCATATTTAGCTACTATCCATCCCGCATAAGTATTTACAAGTGTAACGACACTCGGTTACATATGTAACTATAGACTAAATATTTCACGGGAATATACATAGAAGCTTTATACCCCATGTAACAAAATCCTCTATACAGGATACAGCTCGAAAACGAGTATATCTACTCGTCCCTCTCATACAATATTTTGCTGGAAGTTGATCAAAGAAGCATAATATTATTTGCTGCCTTATGCGGAACACCCTGTATAAGGGAGCATTTCGTTTAACAAATGCCAAAAAAAACTTTACAACTTTTTTCATGCGATTTCTATATTATTTAGAAAGAAAACTTACAGGTCTTGAGTGCTTGTTACAAATAGATTGCACTGTAAATTTATGATTGTTTTACAACGTGATCAATTGTCCAACTACTTCTTATGTTATGTATAATTTACAAAGCGATGCATTACAATTTTATAATTTAAGGAATTTAACATTTTTAGGTACAAAAGTACTTTTAATCTACATATAAGCATAACAACTTTTCAACTCATCTAATCACATGATTATTTTGCCTTAATTTTATTTTAAGGTATCTGCTAAAATCATATTTCAAATATTTCTTTAAAGCCATGGTGATTAACTACTCTTAAATTATAACAAAAATAAATTTTCATTATGTGATTTATCTATGATCAAATTGCGATAAGTGTGCCTGCCTTAATTTAATTATGCTATTATATTCAGCTCTTGAAGTACGCTGTTGAAGTTACCTATATTATGTAGTTTGGAAATTGATAAATGATAACAAAATTTTATAAAATCCTTTTTAATTTTAAAATGTCGGGGTGTTAGTCCCACATATTGTACTGTTTTTGTTTTTCTTTTTTCGTGATGTATATTAACATTTAGGCATATTTTAAAATAATTGTTCAAAAATTTGATAGGCAATATAATAGACATATGTATGTACATCGTTCCTTAAAATTTACAACAATGTTCTTTTTTCAAGTGTTTTGTCTTATTTTTTTTTGTTTCCAATCCAATTATTTGATTCCTATTTTGTGTTTTCTAGATTAGATTTTGCATATAGCTATACTTATATGTATGCTTTATTTTATATTATTTCGTACATGTTTCCAGGAGGAGAGGGCAGTTACTTTGAATTTTGACTTAATTTTGTTTTTGGAGACGGTTGTAATTTACACATAAATTAACTAAATTCTCCATAAAAAATTTTGAAAATAAAAAAGAAAACATGTTTAAGCAACGTTTTAACCTTTTTGTTCGTAATTACGGTTAATAACACATTTTAAGGTTTTCCAGTACCTATATCATTTTTAATATTATTTCAATTTTTTCTTCTTTTCATAATAAAAACATTTTGCACGTGATTTTGTTTGTATTATGTATAATAAAAAGCTCAAATTGTTATGGTTCATTTGTTTTATTGACAACGAACATTTTTGGTGCACCTTGGTGAAAATCCAAATGTGAATAACGCGCATAACAATTTTAATGTTAAAAATGTAATAAAATAAACTTCTTTTTGCATTTTGCACATAGCTATTTTCGGGAGAAAAATACGTTTAAAAAATTTAAAGTATAAACATACATTTAATGTATATGTAGTATGTTTGACTTTATTTAAACAGAAAATATTAAATAAACTACTAATTCTTATAGTTGTCGTAATTGGATATTAAAGTCGAAGTAAATTTAATATAAAAATTTTGAATTTTTAATTCTTTCAAATGAAAGACGCTTGAAGGTAATTAATATGGTATGAGAATTGTTTTTTGAATTATATTGAAAGTTCTCTTTTTTTTAATAAGTTTTTTTTAATTTCATTTAAAATATTTCATTTAAATTTTTTTAAACAAATACTTAGAAAAAATAATACATTAAAAATATAATTAGGGTTTTTCCTAAACACAGTGCATTGTGATATGCGGTGAAAACTGCGCTATATTCATGTTCACAAAAGGATGTTGCCAATGTAGTTTGTTTCATAAACATGTATCACAGTTAAATCATATGAACCGTTTTGATATTATAGAATTGTTAAAAATATATTGCATATTCATCACGTTAAGCTTTTGCAGTATTGCGTTCATGAAAATCTTTAGTGTTTAGTTATCAATAGATATAGAGCTTTTTATTTTCAAATTATAAGAAGTTGGCTGCCAGTAAAGTGTACTTTATGAACTTTTTTATGATTTGAAGTTGAGATGCTCACATAAAAATTATACTTGGGTGGAAAATTAAGATTGGGCAAGGTTAATTAAATATCCATTTTCATTATGATTCTCGTTTGTTTCGATTTTTGTAAATTATCATGTACTACAATTAGATATTCAATAATGAATAAGGCAAGAAGAAAAAATTTAAGGCCAAGAATTATGTACCTTTATATTTTTTTACGTTTCGTACAAATTTCGCATCACTAACAAAACACAATTTTTAGTTGTTTTAGGTTGGGTTCAATTTCCTATAAGTATGAAAACTTTAATCTACACATAAATGTTGCAAAGACCCAAAAGTCTTATTTGCCTTTTGTTTTGTTTTAATTCTTCATGTTATAATTTTCATTTCTTATTTTTGTTCTACGAAAGTAATCCAAAATTAAGTTTTATTGTATTTTTTTCCATAGTTTAATATACTCGTATAATACGTCTATTACCCAAATAGGATCAGGTAGGTATAGGTAAACGAGGAAAAGGTTATTTTTGGCTTACTCAGATAACTCATTCGCCTAAATTTTTCCAATATCTTTATCTCTCTTTGATGCATTTCATAAAATTGGAATGACTTTGATTTTTTGTATGAAAATGAAAAAAAAATATTTATAGGTAAATTTTACGGTTCCTTATTACCTCCATACTTGATATAAACTTCAAATAAACAATTTGTATATTATTAAAATAAGCATTTGTATATTAATAATGTAAGTAAACAAGTAGCACGTAAATACATATTAAAATTGAAATCAAGTACGTAATAAATAAAGTTATTGCATTCCTATTAAATTTTAGCTTGGTAGTTATTTTTCGTTCCATAAATGAACAAAATCGTAGATTTTTTTCATTTACAATAAAAAAAATGTTTTCTAAAGTAAATTGAACAAAATTAAATAAATACACAAAAATAAAAGTTTTTACTTTACTTTCGATCATTGAATTTCCATTTTGTTTGCTTATATTAGTAATTTTTTATAAAAAAAAAATAAGTACACTAGATCCCCGATTTACGACAGAGCCTAGTAAATCGAAAAATAGCCTAGTAAATCGAATCTTGTTAAACTAGGTTTTTCTTAAAAACTGTATTCATACATACACAATATATATATATATATATATATATATATATAAATTCATAAATATACATCAGATAACTGTTGCTAAACTCAATCGTTAAGCATATCGCCAAAAGGTGCAAAAACATCTTTTGTCACAAATAAGCAACTATCAGTTAAATTAAAAGTGCAACAAGCATCATAATTTACAAGAAAGTAGGTTAAATAGAGGGAGGAGAAGAAAGGCAATTAAAATAAAATGGCGAGCACAAAAAAAAACTTAAGGACTACCCACATACCAATCTCCAAACATTGAATACTATATAATCTAATATAAGAACATATACATATAATGCATGTGTCTGTTTAGATTCCAAGCTAAAAAAAATAACATTGCTTTAAAAAAAAAAACAAAAATTATATCGACAAATTAATATGCCATGCCAAATAATTACAATATTGTAACAAACAGTTTTGTATTTTTTTTTTGATTTTCAATACAACAATACAAAGGAAAAACTACAAATAATCAAAATTTGTTCAAGTTCAACCTAAGAGCGCTATACAATTTCTTTCAAATATTTCTCTTACAAGCGTCGCAACTATCAATAGAAGTCTTTGTGAGAATTAATAAATTTTAGAACGGAGATGTCGTAAAATCGTTGTATATCAGGTGTGTCGGTAATCGGGGACCTAGTGTATGCTTAAAGTTTATTTATTGTATCGTAAGTTTAACATTGTGCTAAAAATTTTTTTTTTATTCTTTTTCTAGTCTGTTATGACACTTGTGATGATGTAAAATGAGTTATTTTTAAAGGCAACAATTAAGAGAGTATTAAGAAATTATTTGACATCATTTAAGAACAAAAAAGGGTACCAGTATTATGTGTACAGCACAACAACCTTAAATTTCAAAAACTTGTTTAGCATAATTTTTGAAATAAATTTTTTTGTGCAATCACATAAAACTATATTTTTTTTAATCTTGTTCACACAAAATTTGATTTGGGTTATTTTACATTTATAACGGGGAAACACAGTTATTAATGCAATACAAATTAACAAAGGCAACTAAATTTTTAAAAACGAGTTGAAAAATTTCAATTTCGTGTCAATAATTTTTTTTTTTGAACTTTGAATAAAATTATTTAATTGACCTGAGCAATATGCTTATTACACAATTTTTAATTTATTAAAATCTAATATGTACTGATAACAGTTTAGATTTGATGTCAGTAACTAGTGAGAAGCACTATAAGTTAAGCTTTTTCTATAATAAATTTTTTTGTCATATCGAAGTTCTACGTGCTGGATTTTAATATTCTATTCAGTTTTTTGTTTCATTTTTAAAATTTAAATTTAAATTGACATTTTTTAGGTACATACATACATACATATAACGTATGTTTTTGATTTTGTGGTATAGTTTATTTAAAAATCCTTCTTTCTATTTCCCATTTTAGGTGCTTATGCAGATTACATGAAAAATGTCTTTCCAACAAAAACATTTACAAATCATCATTCAATAGCAACTGGATTGTACGTTCCTTTTTGTTTTTTAAATAATTTTAAATTCTTATTAAAAAAATTTTTAATAAATTTCTTTAGATATCCTGATAAGCATGGCGTTTTAGCTAATAGTTTGTACGATACGGAAAAAGGACCACTAAAATATTCATATGATTTATTTCATTTTAACCCGGAAGTTGTACCTATTTGGGTAAGTAAACTCTAATAAAATACGATAAAAATTAATTTTTAATTTGTTTAGAATAATGGTATTTTACATATACTTTTTTTTTTATGTGGAACACGTACAAATTTTTAACATAATAATTAGCATTTTTTTTTGTTATGTAATTGATAAGAGATTTTCAAAATATACATGCAAAATTCTAAATATTTTTAGAACTTAGCAAAATGTTTTATTGCTTTTCAATCAAATGTAAATGCAGGGTAAACATTTTATCTTTTTTTTTGATCAATGAAAATTTTTTTCTGATTTTCACACATAAAATTCCATTTTTCGTCTAAGTGAGTAAGTAAGTTCCGTAAACTACAATGCAATTATACTGAAAAATCTCCCTTTAGGCATTAATTACAATTTTCTTTTAGAGAGAATTAATCGAATTCCCATAACCTTAAGTAAAATACTAATAACTGAAAATTAGATTTGAATTGGTTGCCATTGAATGTGTTCTTTAGGTTTCAATAGGTTTAAACAATGAAAAAACAATATTTAAAAGATAAACCAAAATTTGTTAAAAATAAAATAATTAAATTTTATTTTATAGATTTTGAATCAACAGTATGGAGGAAAGTCTGCATGTGTTATGTGGCCTGGGAGTAATTTTGAATATTTAAATCAAACTTGCCATTATACTATGATTTACAATACCTCAGTGCCATTCAATGATCGTGTAGATCAAATGATTACATGGTTAACTAAAGAAACTGATGCTCCAAATTTAGTTATGTTTTATTCAGAACAACCAGATAAATTAGCACATATGGTTGGTCCAGATTCAAGTAATATAACTGATATGGTAGAAAAAATGGATTTGTTAACTAAATATATACAAGATGAATTAGCTAAAAATAATTTAATTAATCGTACAAATGTTATACATTTAAGCGATCATGGTATGGCTAGTACATCACAACCTTACTTTATAAATATAACAGATTATTTAGAACCAGATACATATAAATATTATGGTACATCACCTGTTTTACAAATTGTACCTGAAAAAGAAAAATATGATGATGTGTATGAGCGATTAAAAAATGCTTCAATAGAAAATAAGAATTTTAAAATATACACAAATGAAAATTTATTAGAACGTTGGCATGCAAATAATACCAGACGTTTGGGGCCAATAATTCTAGTAGCTGAATATGGATATGCATTTGATGATATGTATATATTAGCAAATCATTTTCGAAAAGAAAATAATGTGCCATGTAAGTAATAATTTATAATTTTTTTTCTTGTAAGATTATTTGTACCAAAAGTATTAATACTAAGGTACATTATATAATAGTCAGTTAAAACGTTTCTCTAATTTTCTAAAAAAAAATTATATTCTTAAAATCTGCTGACTTTGCCTTAAAATTTAGTAAAGATCTATTTGTTAAATGATTAAAGAAAAGTTAAAGCTTAGCATTAATAATTTTCAAGTTTTAATAGTTGAGAAGAATATTTTAAAAAGCAGAAAATTTATTGTATGATTCATTTGAAAAATTAAAAAAATTTGCATTCAATTGGAATGATTCATCTTTCATTCAGGTAATTGACACAATATATTTCAGTTTCCTTACAAAAAGTTTCCAAACAAATAGGTTTTTATTGTGTAGGATTTGAATCTTATTGAGTGATATGTGACATACTTTTATTCGCAATTTATTATTCGTAAAAAAGAATTATCATTAGACAATAATGTGAATATTTTGTCTGGAAGCTTTTTATTGTTACAATAATGTTTAATACATACTTTTTTTTTAAAGTTGTATGTAATAATATGCTAAATATTTATAAATTTTATTAATACAAATTTTTCAAATATAAAAATAATTTCAATAATAATTTTTTGTGTAAATAATTAATTAGAGAATTCAATTAACATTTTATTTTTTTTTCCAATAAAACTTTTTTGTAGTATGTATTCGCTTTCAAGGGTATAATTATTAGAACGTTTTGCATTTAAATAAATTTTTATATAAGGAAATATGAGGTCAGTTTAAATATAAATTATATTTTTTAATTGAATTTTTCTCTATTCTTCTTAACTACTGTGATTTATAACTATTTTTAAAAATAAAAAAAAGCTTGATAAGAGTGTTGGAATTAAAATTATGTGTATACGTGTGTATATACATCATGACATTCTGATTTAGGTAAACTTTAAATTTATTTATGATTGACGAAGTTTCTGCTTAAATTATTTGGGTTCTAGTTATAACAAAAAAAAATATTTTCGTGATAAAATTTTTATATTGTTCATACTAAATTTGTAGTAGTAACATTATTGTTTTTATGATCGTTTTTTACAAAATATAGGTAAAATATTTAAGTATATGCACACAGTGACGTCATTCTATAACCATCATTTCAAATTCAATGGATATTTAAAAAAAAAGCTAAAAATTTAACTGTTTGCGATAAATTTAAAATTTATATATTTGTGCTATGTAATTTTTCAATCTGTATTATAATATTTCTTATAATATTGTTTATTTAACGATAACTTTATGTTGCTGCGTTGTGTTATACCTTAAGACTTAAATATTTTAAAGGGTTTGATGCAGAATTAAGGAGATGCATTCGAATTTCAACTAGAATATGTTTGTTTTTATGAAACCCGATTTTAAATTAATTTCAAAATTTTATCTTCTATATAAGGAAATCTTCTAAATGTGATGTTCGCACATTTGTCCATACTGTTGAATTGTTCATACTCAATGAATTGCTCACTGTTGCCCATACTCAATGAATTGTTCAAAATAATTTAAATTAATAAAACATGTATTACCAAACGTAGACTAGAGATTTTAATCTTTTGTTTGTATGTATTATATTAACATTTTACATAAAAATTGTTTAGGACTAAAACTCTTCAGTTCTAGTTTTTGAAAAAAGAAAAATTATTTTATCAATCCTGACAACATTTATAGTATAATGCTGCTCATATTGAATTTGAACAGAATTCATGTGATGTAATATGAAAATAATAACATTCCGTTGAAATATATAAATTGTGATCAAAAACTCAAGTTTCAGAAAAACATTTTAGATATCTACTTTTATAAAATTGTAACGTCATAAACCGAGTTGGGAAATTAGCATTTTAATGCCAAATTCGGTTTAATGGATTTTAAAAACCAGAAGGACATATTAAAAGCTTCCAAATTAGATTTCCTGAAATATGCAAATTATGAGTTATGTCAGTTATTTTATATTTTCTATAAAATTATATTATAATTATAGTAATTTATAATCTTTAATTCGCTTTATAAATATTTGATTGAAAAACCTTTTTAGTTACTATGAATTCATCATATGGTGTACATGGGTATGATAACGAATATGATTTAATGCATGCATATTTCATGGCAAAAGGACCACAAATTAAATCTAATTTTAAATTGAATCCATTTGAAACTGTTGATTTATATGAACTATTTATTAAATTATTACAAATTGATGATGTCAAATTAAATTATAAAACAAGTGGTTCATATAGTAGAGTTTCAGGAATTTTAATTGAAAATAAATCATATTTAACAAGTAAGTATTTTATAAATACTAAAAAAATTAAAAATGCTTAACAAAACACAATTTTTATTAACTCATCAAATTATACAAATTATAAGTGAATTTTTATTAATATTTATATTAGAATTTATGAAATTCTAATATAAATATGAATGAATAATTTGATTAGTTAGTAAAATGATAATATAGCAAATTAAAAATAAAAATTTATTTTGTCATATTCAAATATCAAACTGAAATGACTTTAAAATATTAATAGTAATAATAATTTAAAATATTATTAATATTTCAGATATAATAGTCTCAGTAGTTTTAGCTGCCATAGTTATTGTGTTATTAATAATATATGCTGTACATCAAGTCAAAAAGCGTCAAAACTATAATGTTAATATTTGATATTTAATATTTAAATAATGAATATTAAAATATAATTAATCACTTTTTTTTTCTCTATTATTTGTATGAAATTTTATTTTATTTTTTTGGTTCTTGAATATTGAAGGCTGTTCAAATGTATATAATATATTATTGTATGTACGTGCATCACGATGTGAATTTCATATTTTGCAATAATATAATTTTCTATTCTTAATTGTATAAAAATTTAAATACTAAAATACGATATTATTTTTTTTAATGTTCTTGTTTTTCTTTTTAATAAATTGTTATCAGAAACAAATTTTTATATTGTATAATATTATGTAATATTGTTTATATTCTAATACATATTCTGAATCAAAAAAAATATTTTTCGAAATTTGTTTTTAAAATAAGGTAATGTTGTATGTAATTTAAATAAAAAGAAATTCAGTGCTGTTTTATAGTTATTGAAGATAAATATTTGTTATATTACGTTCAGTGGAAAAATAGACTCAATAATAGTTAAAAATGTATGTATGTACAGAAAACAAAAAAATTATGATATAGATGTATGTATATAAAAGTAAATATATAAAATATATATTATATACAAACTTTTAAAACAAATATTTTAATTAATTTAAAATTTCTTTTTGTTTCATAGTCCTGGTAAGTAGTACAAGCCAAAGAGAACTCTTAATTTAAGAGCTTACCTTGATAAAGAAAAAATAAGGGAGTTTACATACATATTTAATTTTTTCTTATTATTCTAGCATTTTCAATTCTTTTTTATGCGATTTTAGTACAAAAAACATAGACGTTTACTATTTTAAAATATTTAGTGCATATTTGAGCCTACTTTTAAATTAAAAAATTTTTAGTAGCTTAGAGTGAATGGTTGAGAATTTAGAAAAAAGATTTTTAGATTTCCGATTATGTTGCATGGTACGGGTTATACATACTATTGTAGCAACCAAAGCCATAATCCTTGAACCATGCTACTTTGATTTTAAGCTAAATTATTGCCATTATTCAATAAGAAATTCTTTTTTTTTTTATCTAAATATTTTTATAATTGTTTTCTTAATTAATATTCATTTAATTTGTAATTCCATAAACTTTTATAGCCATAAACATTTGGGAAAAATCAAAAATTTTTTGGTAATGTTTTATATTTAAAGCTATTGGCAGTACCAATATGCATGAGAAAGTTTCCTTTTGATGAAATCTAATGTTTAATTATATTTACATGTATAATATGTTATTGTTAACTAAAAATAAAAATGTAAATGAAATGGTAGTGAAAAATGGGTTGACTACTGACCTCAGCTCAATTGAAAATGCAAACATGTTAGAAGTGTAAGCGAAATCAATGCTTGTAAAAGTAAAATTGAAATGAACTGAAAAGAAAAAAAAATATTAGTCAATAGGAGTTTATTTAATTTTTATGGCTTTGTTATTCTGTTATCGAAATTCATTACAAGCTATTACAGCTTTATTTAAGTGACTAAATCAGGGCATAATATGCAACTTTCGCTTTAAATATTAAACAATTTTTTTTTGTGGACAAGGAATGAGTAAATAAAAAAGAAAGAATGTAAATGGTTATTTACAAAAAATAAGAATATTTTTCTTTCTTAAATTTTTAACAATCAGTCAAGACAAATTTTTTTAATGATACACAAATAATAGTTACTATAAATTACATTGATTACGTAGTGTAAAGTACATTATTATTAATTATGCTTATTTACAGTGCTCTATGACAAAACAAAATTAGAATAAAAACTAAAAATTATTTTAAAAATTTTAATTTGTTTCGTATCTCTATTATTATACATATGTATATATATAATAAAATCACTATCTATTAATTTTGTTCAATTTTTTTCTAAATCATCTTGTATTGCTTTTCTTCACCTATTATTAATTGTAATTTGTGAACTCTTCCTTATACATTAGTAAATTTACAATTAATTAATGATTATTTGGAACGGTATACTATTTGAATTCATATTAAAATAATCGTCTCTAATGGTCTTGGAAATTTATTTAAAGCTTTGAAAAAATACAAAGTAAAATTTTCAATTAAAATTTAGAATTTATCTTTAATTTTGATCATTACTGCTGTTGCCACTATTATTATCATTTCTATGATTATTATTATTTGTGTTATTAGTGTTTGGATTTTGATCACTATTGTTACGATTACGACTACGTAATGAATGAATACAAGCTAACATTCGAATCATGAATGCTGCAGGTACTGTAATGGTATCTTTAGTTTCTTCCAACATTATTGCGTTACGTGCCATTAACTAAAATTAAAAAAAAGCATTTAGCACGAAATATATTTATATATAATTTATATTTTTAAAATACACATAAAAATATTATGATTTACGTACGTCATTCGCAGCAACTTCATCGAAAAATCCTTGATCACGTATTGGTGCCCATATTTTAATATTATAATCTATGCCAGAAGTTGCTAAAATCGGTAACTCCGGATGTGGCTGCACACAATTCACAACATGTTGGTCAGCTTGCAATAGTTTGACTAGTTTTCCATTATGTCGATCCCAAATGAAGCAGTAACCGCAATCTGAGCCTGACATAACATAATTATTGCCCCAAAAATTGGCTTCCTTTATCATTGTTCTAGCGTTCCTATGCCCTTCATATTTCATTTTCATATAATTATAAATAAATTCTTTGGTATCAATTTCTATTTTTTCTAACTCATCCTTTAGTGAAGTTTGATCATCTAATTTATTAGAATTTTGTTCTTCATCAATGTCCATATCTTCATTCGATTTTGAGTTCTCGTTATTTTTATCGTTAAACAAACCAGAAGGCCCCGGCTGAGGGTCATCTAAATATATTATGATAAAAGTATGATAAATAATTATGGTCGACCATGATAAAAAATATTTTCTTAAAATTACCATTTCGATTGTTATAATTTTCAATTTCTCTTGCGGCTGAATCAAATAAAGCGTGATTGTCTTGCGAAATATCAGGCGCATGCCCGCTCAATCCACTCCTTGTTTGCGGATCGTTTAACATTCGAGACAATACTTCAGTCATTCTATGCATTATTGTTCCATGTAATTGAGGTCGTACTTGACCAATTTCAACGCGTCCTGTAATATCACGTTCAGGTCTTGCGTTAGGCCCTGTATCAGACCAATCACCACGTAGTCTCAATTTTCTTACAGGTGGTGGAGTCGAATCTAGAAAAGGTTTTTTATTTACTTTTTTGTCACGCTTTGTTTCTAGACTAATGCCATTTTTAGTTGCATCAAATAAATACAGGTAATCTGAAGAGTAACTAACAAGCAAATCATTTTCATCTTTGCTATATTGCACTGAAGTAACGCGGTAATTTCTTTTTGTATCAGTTGGAATCTGGAAAGCTTTCACTGGTACGGTATATTTTACACCAGCAAACGATGTTACAATTGTTGTACTAGGTAATGAAGAAAAATCCATTAAGGACAAATAACGGCGGTCATAAATTTTAATTAAACTATCAGAACTGCCAACAGCTAAATAATAATGTGAAATTGGTGCTAAAGACATTGCTGTGGTAGCTGATGGACTAAATATTAAAATATTATCTTTACAATAACTTTTATGACAGTTTGAAATTAATCTAAGATCAAATAAGCGAACAGTACCATCCTCGCCACAACTCATAAAAGATTTTGGTTCAGTGGGTATAGTTAGCACTTCATATGTCGTACCGTTATTATGACAATTAAAATAATTTTGGGACATTTCAGTTTTTTCACAACCGAATATTCCTTTAGTTCCGATTGTTGTCAATTCCGTATGCATTACCATTCCGTCGCCAGAACATGATACAATATCATGATCGTCAGATTGTGGTAGAAATTTTACGCTGAATATATTTGACTTGTGAAGTGTTTTAAATTTGACTAGAATTTCACTGGTAAATGGGTTGGTGATTGTAATATGTTGATCATCTGCTCCAGATAAAATATATTCACCATTTTTATTCCAAGAAATTGAATTAACGCAACCCGAATGAACATTTAGTTCAGATTGTAAATCTAAACGTTGGACATACTCTAAGCTATCTAAAAAAACAAATAGAGAGTTGTAAATCGATCCAATTTTAACATGTAAATTTACAACCTTTTGTGCTGTTAAATAATCTCCTTCTAGCCTCCTTTTCACTATAATGTGTTTGGTTATATATATCACGAAAGACACTTGAAGTGGATTTCCTTGAGATCATTTTCACTTGCTTGCTTTGATTGAACCTAAAATAAAAAAAATTTATTAATAAATATGTAACATTAAATATAACCTTGAATTTTTAATTTTTCTACTTAAGATTTGTATGAAAAATCTGAATGAATTTACATTTTTATTCTAGGTGAAGTAGGTACATACATATGAGTTTGCATAGGAGGGGAAAATGTACTTGCTTATTTCTATTTAGATACATTTTTTTTGGTGAATTTATGTTTGCTTTGGTCATGCAAAAATGAATTATAATTAATTGGCATTTAACCAAAAATGTAGCGATTTTAGTATGAAACTCAAAAGAAAGAAAAAAATTGTCCTTCATATTATTTATCAAATTTTAGCTACCTACCAATGTATGCAATTTTGTATTAATAACTTTGAAGTAAAGCGCCACAAATAAAAATAGAATTATTAATATAGATTTACATATGTACCTACATGTTTCTTCGATCCCCGAAAATTCCCTTGATAAATATATTGACATTTCTTGAAATAATTATTGAAGGACAAAGAAAAACTCATTAAAAGATTTTGTTAATTATCGAATCAAATCAAAAAAATCAATATTGAAAATGCATATTTGTCGATAAAGAAATATAAATAATGGGGATAACCGTAAATTATCAACACTCTTAATTTTAATTAAGTAGAATTTTATCTATATTAATGTAATAACGATGTTGTTATAGAGATTGGCTATCTACTTGCCTAGATATCCATTTAATTAAGTGTTTATAGTAGATACCTACATATATCATTAATTCATTTAAAAAAATCTTCCTATTTAAAAATGAAGACGTTTTTATTGCGTTTTGACTAATAAATTTTTTCTTTCAATATGCATAATTCGTTTAAAATTGCAGAACTAATAAATGAAAACTAGAACTAAAATTTGGTTCTGCAATGATTTATAAAATCTGTGTAAAGTTAGCAAGTTGTAAATTCAAAATTGAAATCTATTTACCACCTACCTTAAATTGTTTTTTATAAAAATATTTAATACTTATTTTATTATGAAAAGGCACTTCAACTAATTTTAATACAAACAAATTTCAAATAAATTGCTGAACAAACTTTACAATGAAAAATATCTTAGTACTAGACCTAGAAATGTGTACTCACCAAAAAATTTTATGTACTGCCAAATTTTAATATTTTGTAGAAAAATTTAACTTTATTAATTATTCATTGTTTTTTTCACAGAACAACAGCCGCACTTAAGATTAAAAAAAAGTTTATTAAAGGTTGACAAAATATAAAAATAGAATACCAATTTTTTCTTTCAATCAAAAAATACTTAATTTAGAACGCATGTACATACATTTTACTAAATTTATTTTATATATTATTATTACACTTATTTTATATGATTTCGTTAAATATTTTTTATAATTTTTACAAAAATAATAATCCTTAAGATTTAATAATTCTTTTTAAAATTCAATTGAAAAAAAAAAAAATAAAAATCTTTATTCTTTTGTTTTGAATAAGAATAAAAAAAAATATACATACTGAAAATAAAACGATTTACATATATATTGCTTACAAATCACGGCAATGAAAAATAAAAAGTAAAATTTCTAATCAGCTGATTTTGGCATTCACTATTAAATTGCATTTTGTATTGTTTTTGTTTTCGTTACGCCAAAAAGTTTCGAAAATTAATTTGAAATTGCAAGATATTTGACAATTACTTTCAAGTGAAATGACGTTTTCGAAAATACTCCAAAATATTGACCCAGTGATTAAAAGTTGAAAATAATTCATTAATTTTGTTAAAACTTTAATAAAGCGACATCTATTGGTGAAAAATAAAACCGATACATGTATATAAATAAAAAAGTACTTTTATACAAGATTTATCTGATTAAGTTGTTTTAATTTACTTTTTCTTGTTTTTGGTATATGTACTATTGCACTAAAAAAATTGTAGACAATTTCTATACTAGCATAACTTTATGAACTGATGTGAAAAAAGCCTAATGGAAAAAAAAAACCGTGGGTTAAATATTCTAAAGAACTTATCAAATACAGATCAATATCACTGTAGTTTTTTTTTCTTAATCTTTGAATCATACATCAAATCTGGATGATACCATGTTATTTACAATGCTTTTGAATTGTAATTATTTTTTTTCAGGAAATCAATCATTCAGTACAGCAGGCTAGCAAAATATTTAAGACAGAATTAAATTTTGGAGCAGTTATTTTATTAAAAAACAAAGCTTTGTCCTGTAAACGTGTTTTTATCATCAAAAGTTATTATTCAAATTTTTGACGAGTTGCATTAATTTTAACGTCATCAAAAGATTGTTGACATCGTCAAAACATACTTAGATCGGTTAAATTTTATACAACTTATTTCGAAACTGTCTCGAAACTTATTATTCTTTAATAAAAGAGTTATTTCACATTCGTAAGTTTTTTGTTCCAAACAAATGGAATTGAGTGTAAAAATTCAATAAAAAGAGTTGAACTATATTTTTTTATAGAAAAATTGAAATCAAAAGTGAGGCGGTTCAATTCCTTTATTAAAATTATCTGACAGCTTTGTAGTCATGCAAAGAAATGCCAATATCAAAAAAAGCTGTACTTCCTTTCCAATTATATCTTGTTGATAGATGATTTCAAATTCTAGTATTTTTCCAAATGTCAATGTCAATGTTTTACGGCATAAATAATATACATATATACAAATAGCTGTTTCGATGTAAATAAACAAGTTTTCTAGAATTTTTTGAAGTGTTTCTAAAAAATTATATTATTATTTAAATAAATTTAAAATAATATGTTTAGTGAATTTACTAAGGCTCCTGGAACATGGGGCGAGTTTGAGGATGAGTCCGATTTAAAGAGGGAAACAAAACCCGATGAAATTATTACCCCACAGGCTAAAATGGATAAACTTAGAAGAATTAAGAATATAACTATTGTAGCTGAAGACAAAATGTATACAAGTATATTTAGTGTTAGTTTAGTTATTTTAAATATCAATGTATTATTATGTATTTTAGAGAAAGTATTAAAATTAAAAATCCTCTAGTAACTCAAACAATTGAAGTGATGAACCAAACAGAAATGCTTCAAACATTAATAGATACTTATGCAAATAAATCTGTGAGTTTCTTACAACTCTTTTTAAATACATTTCTTGAATTTAATTACGTTTAATTAAATTAATATTTTATTTGTAATTTATAAATTAATTGTTTCATAAATTTTTAAAGGGTTTTCAAAATTATTTACTAAATCCTTGTCAAGTTATACCACAAGTTGATTTTCCGCCAGAAAATACAGCAGAATTATTATCTGATGATAAATTTGCAAAACCGCTATGGTTTATACCACCAATTGAAACAGATTTTGTTAGAGGTGTACCCAGAGAGTACCCACAAGTAACAAAAGAAATATGCCGGCAAGCTTTAAGAAAAGCTGTTTGTGGTTTATTAAGAGTAGCAGGATTTAACGGTAATTTTTTTCGTTTTTGTATGAAGTAGATATTAAAAATTTGGTGAAAAATTTATAATAATTTTGTTTTAGATTCTTCAAATATTGCTCTTGTAACATTGACTGACGCTGTTGATGAATTTCTGAAAACATTACTAACACATGTTAATGACGTTAGGAATAATCAAGGTTCTGAAGAAATGGGATTGGATGTATTAACTCTGGAAAAAGGATATTTTCAAATGACACAGAACTCTTTAATGAGCATTCATAATTATTTTAAAAACAATATCATTGCCAGAAATAAGTATGAAATAAATGAATTTAAAGAAATTGAAGCTGAATATGACAAAATGATGAAAGAAAGTCAAAGAGAACATGAAAAATTCAGGGAGGATGAATTTATGCATTTCCTAGACACAGTGGCTGTGACAGTCAGTACTGTAACAGTTAGTGCTAATCCACCTGTTATAATTGGGGAAGATGGCCTACCGCAGAATGTCAATATTGTAAATTATATCAAAACCGACGAGGAAAATGGAGTTGATAACCAAGTTTAGAAAAATTTGTAGATTTTAAGTAATTAACTAAGGCCTAAAAATAATGGAAAAAAATATTCAAATCTCAGTACTTTGTATAAAATAAAAAATATTGTTGATATTTTAACTGTTTAATTTTCCTCCAAAAAGTAATTGTACAGAACACTATATTATTTTGGTATTAGGTACTCATTCTTAAGATAAAAACATAAAATATTCTGCATCACTTCACAGAACAGTTAATTTAAGTTTAACTTTTTATTTTCCTATACGCATTATGAAGGATTTTTTCTCTAAACCAAAGTACGTTCTACACTCAGATTGAGTAACATTTCGTCCTTGAGTAAAATTATCCTAAACTCGCAACTGAAGAGTTAGGTACAAGGGAAGTTTTAAAATTTATTAAAACATAAAAAATAAACTTTTTTTAACTTTACTGAATGGATACTCACATACATATGTATGTTTTTATAAGAATGAATAAGAAATACACATATGCTTAACTTGTATCACCTAAATTTTCTCGTAAATTTTAAGTATGTTACTTCCATATGTAATATTTTATTATAACTATCATGTTGTGACATCTATAAGGTTAAAAATTATGTATGTTCATATGTACCTATAGGTAGGTGCATTATAAATAATTTCTTAAGCTTTAATTAACATTTTATTAACAAATTATTCATAATAAGGCGGTAAATCATGAGTTTCATCGAAGTTTTTCGAATTTTTAGTCATATAAGCTTCTGTTCTTCTTAACCTTGCTGGTTTAAAAGTAGTTGATCCTAACAATATATCATTGGGTATCTTATTTTTTTCTGAGGTCGCTTTTTCAAATGAGGGAGGAGGTGAAACATTTACTTTTTTAATGAACATCTTTCTTTTTGTTATATCTGTCGCAGCTCTTTTTACTGTTTTCTTTTTTTTAGCTTTCGCTTTATAATATGCAACCTCAATAGCCAAAGTTACCATAGCTAAAGCTAAACCACATAACGTAGCTATAAAAACGCCACCTAGGCTTTCCAAAGTTATGCCTTCATTTTGCTCTGATGTTGAACAACCCTTTCTTGCCGAATTATTCCAAAATTTTGCATTTAAATTTTCAAAATATCGGTCTCTTTGTAATTCTAGTACAGCATAACTTATTTCATCCTGAAATTAAGAATATTATCTTTAATTAACTGTTTTCAATAAATTTTCACCCTGTACTGAACCTGCAAGTTGCTTCCTTGTTGTACTGCAATAGCGTAAGGTTGTTCAGCAAAAACTTCTCCAACTTCTGTTAAATTACAATTTTTCGTAATTTCATATTTAATTTCCGCTGAATCATGAATAAATGCAAAATCAGCGTTTTCATGTTCATTAACTTTCCGAAATCCTTCTTTAGCATCTTTGACAGGGTTTGATGAATTAATAGCAAGTAAAATGTGTCCGTATTGCTCTTTGATAGGGTAATCCCAAATTCTAAACAAATATTAATTTAATTATACACTTAATACTAACCCCTACCTACCTACCGATATTTTCTTTGGTCTGCTGTAGCATTTAGGGTAAGCTCTTTCCACATTCGATAAAGGGTATCTTCTGCATGTTTCATATTAATGAAATATTCATGTGTGTCCGAATTCATGACGACTGTATAATTAATTCGTGATTGTCTAGCTAATTGTTCCAATGATTGAACTGGAGTTTGCATTCTTTCAACTGTTAAAAACGCAGCTAAATTTGCTGTAAATGTGGCTAACATTAAGACAACAAAAAGCCAATAAGCTGCAACTAATACTCGACCAGAAACAGCTTTTGGAGCTTCTCCACCACCTTGTGGTGTGAAAGATGTTAAAGCGAACCAAAAACTTTCTTTTAAAGTAAATTCCCTAAAAATTACAGATTAAAAGCCTAGAGTTCATTAATTACATTTGAATGTGCATAATACATGCATACATATACTCGTATATATATGTAGGCATATAGGCCTACAAATTTTTTAAATATATGTACATTGCAGATGATACCATCAAACCCATTAGTAAAGTAAAATTATGAAAGCTTGTATTGAGCTATGCACTTACCGACATGGATATGAGTACGCATTTTTATTATTAGCAGCACTATAAGGTGAATATTTATCTAAGAGCCAGATCATTATAGCGGTGGCGACTAAAGCAGCAATAATACTAAACCAAACTTCTGTTCGTAACACAGTCATAAATTTAAACAACGAAGTTTGTCTCACTGGATTCCGAATTACTGTATGTTAAGACAGTAAAATTCGTAAAATAGAATTTTTTTTCATAACTTTTCATTATATGATTTAAATTATTAACTTACCGATTGATATTCCAGTTTGTTCAAAATAAGGCGCTATAAAATCAATAACTTCTTCACGTTCTGAAGTCATTTTTAGTGATGAAACTGCTATATCAGTGTAACCATAGACCAGATCACCAATAAGACCATCCCAGCTACCATCCGATTGCTTTTCACCAAAAGTTCCATATCTTGGTGAAACGATTTCGAAATCAAAGTTTAATTTTTCTGAAAGTTTTTGAATTAAATCGATACAGTAACCTTCCCAAATCGGATTACCATCGTTATCGTACAACAGTTTTTCTGTTTCAGGATCTTTCTTGTAGTATGCCCAGGGTATTGACTAAAAAATGAAATATTTTATGAAAATAAATTGAAATCCAATGATACATACATATATTTATATATATGTACATACTTCCGTCGTTCCTATGCGAAAAAATCTTCTTGCAGGTTTTACGCTTGATGAAATATTTATTAATTGTTCCGATGATTTCCATATCGCAAGCATATTGCTTTTGTTTTCATTGTTTTTTTGAAAATGTGTAAATTTCAAATTTAAATTAACTGTGAGCCTTCCATCTTTACTTTCTAACCTATTATCATCGTGAAATAAAAATGATAGATCTATTAAATCATTTGAAGTTTCAATAAATGTTTCTGAGTTTTGTTCACAATTAAAAGATCCAGGTGTTAAATTAAGATTTTGTAATTGATTAATTGTTACTGTAAGTATCTCTTTCAAAGCAAGTTTTTGTAACTGCAAATAAATAAAATTGTTAATTTTTAATTGTAAGATGAATTATGCAAATAATGTATTTATGGGTAATAATATGACATTTCTAAAAAATATATTTAAATTCGGCATAAATAGGTCTATGATTTTATCAATTCATTCTCAATAGAGGCAATCATTTCAAAATATGTGTATGTGCATACATACATACATACATAAATATTTTTTTTGATTTAACTTACTTGATTTTGTGGCAAATTACAAGATTCTGAATATCCAGCGAACCCGCAGATAAAATCACTTTCTATGAAAATTTTCACTATATTTTCAAAATAATTTCCAAATTTAAAATTCTCAGTATTAGAATCCACAAACACTAAATGCCATTTATCAGGTCTTTTCAATAAGTTTGATTGCAGAAGCTGAAAAAAATTTATTAAATTATTAAAGACATAACAAATTTTTAAAAATTTACAACAAACTTTAATTTCAAATTCTTATGTCACAATAAATTATTCAGTCATAAGATTTCAATTAAATCATTTTGACAATATTTAAGTTGCATTGTTTTAAATTATTCAAATTAAAGTACAGACATACGTACGTATGTATGTAATAAATAAATACTCAATTGAATTTTAAAATTAAAATTTTCCTACCTTTTCCACAATTTTATTCATATTCTCTGTGGTAGCGAAAATTCCATAATATGAAGGAGCTGACCTTATATTTTTAAATTTTTCAATGAAATCCTTTTTCATACCATTAAAAAGAATCAAACGTAAATTTACATTTTCTAATACCATATAATAAATGGCATCCTCTAAATCATTTTCTGATTGAAATATAAAACAGGCATCATTTGCCTCCCTTGCAATTAAGTAATCTTCTAATGCTTTTAAAAATTGATTTAATGATATGTCTACACGCAAATATGGAATTTTTGATTCACGAATATATTGTAAACCATTTTCCCAAGGATAATAGCTCAAATCAATTAATAATGATTGAGGTTTAACAATTGTCCTGCAAACTACATAAATTTACCATTCAGGTTTATGAATTCATTTATATAATTATAAAAGTAGAAAGTACCTTCTAAAATAGAATTGCCTATGTCATCATAATCAATAATTAAATAATTTTCCTTGATTTTAAAATTTACTTTATTTTCAATTTCCTTTAAAATTTCCGGAATTTCTTCAACAAACTGTGATTGTGTTGATTCTATGAGAAAACCTGAAATTCAAGAATACGTTAGATTTGATGAAACGTTTTTATTGCGTGATTAAGAAGTGAATTTTGGTGGATTTTATAAAATTTTATTTAGTTGATGTTATTCAAATTAAATAAATTGATATTAAATTAATAAATTTGTTGTTTTATTTCTTTAAATTATTTTTTAATTATGGAAATTATCATATTACATGTCGCTACCCAAATTTGCACTGATTATATATTGAATTTGCAACGCAATACAATTTCAATTGAAAATAAAATTTATAAGTAATGTTTTTAATTCACCAAAATAGTGAGGTAATCTTGTATAACGCACTGTTGCAGTGGTAAAAATGTTCTATAAACAAATAATTTGAATAATAGGTGTAGAGTTTTTATTTTCTATCACAAGTTTTTAGAGAAAAGTTGAAGAAATGGCAAGATAAAGCTCTCCAAATTTGATAAAACAAATTATAAAGAACAATTACTTTAGCTTTTATATATTAATTTCTCTAATAATGCCATTTATTTTATTACCTATCTATCTATGTTTTAAATTTTTTATATGAGCACAAAATTTAGAGGTCTTTTTCAACCCATTACTAATATTTCAATAATGATTAAACAATTAACTATATTTTAATAACGAATATTATTGGAATTAAAATTTAACTTACTTATAGAAATCTCATCACCAGCTTTACAATTTTTTATTCTTATTTGAAAATAAAAAATTATTAATAAATAGCAAGAGACCGAAGAAAAAACAATCATAATTGTAAAATTTTTTATGTTATCCGAATGAGTACACGATAAATACTAAAATCATTGAGGTTGAAGGTTTTTGTTATAAACTTTTTCTTTAAATTTTAAAAAAATATCCTTTTATAAATATTGAATTTAAAAGCTGGAAAATTGGCCAATTTTATAATTTTATAAAAATTTGTAGAATATCAATTTTCTTTTATTTTTGAAATAACATTTATGAATTATGCAAATATAATAAGAAAATGTACAAGTATACGCAAAAATTGAGGATTTAAAGTATGATGATAATAAATTTAATATTTAGACATACATATATACATATGTGTTGGCTAGTTTTTATGCCTTACATTCGAATAAAATTGGTGTCCACAAAAAATTATTGTGAGAATATTATTTTTTCGCGTTGTCCAAAAATATTTTATGTGAAATGCCTTTATTATTATGATTTCTCTAAAAATTAATACTTTTTAATGAAGTAGAACTACTTATGCAATAGGAATATCGCAATGCAAGTATAACCAAAAGCGTATTTTATGTAACAAAAAATCTAATGGGATCAATAAAGTGTGTTTTTTGGTTTGGAGAAAGTTCTGCACAAGATTATGAAAATGTCCTTAAAACAGTTTTTACAAATTTTGAGAAGGGATTTTATGCTATCTGAATTTCTTTCAAAGTAAAGTTAGTTTCGGTAGCAATTAGAACTCAAGTAATAAATTTCAAAAAAATTCATCAATTAGTGTTTTAAATACTGAAAAAAATGTGAAATTCTGAACTCGATCTTTTCAAAAAATTTACTAAATCATTGCTTTAATACTCTAAATTTGAATATTATATTTCAAGGAAATTGGTTTTTTATTTCTTTATATAAGCGTAAAATTATAAGACCGGCCCGTACTAAAAGCTACTGACATCTAATTTCCTTGAAAAGCTTGGTGTCTTGCTGTATTGATAGAAAAAGGTTATATAAAATTTCAAGTTCATTTTTTGAAAAGTTTATCGGAAATGTAAGGACGGCTCTTGGTAAAACTCCAGTTCCCAACAAATTCTATACCTCAGTGTTTCATATATGACATATCACAAAAGTGTACTAATCCAAAAGTATATTAAAAATATAACAATATGTATATGAAAACCGGGTCAACCAAAATCAAGATACACGAGTGCTATGTGCGAGTGTATACAAACTGACCAATATATCGTTGATAATAATTTATATATGTATGCTTCCCTACAGTAGAGAAATCTTCTTACCGAAAAGTCGACATTCGAAATTTGGTGCCATGATATAATCTCCCTTATTGTATGCAAGGCAGACGGTAAAAATTAAGTGTACCTTATGTAATATACATACATATGTATGTTCAATATCTATTGTAGTTATATGTATATTATATTCAATATTTGTATATACTTATATACACGCTTTATAAAATATGTAACAAAACTTTTGAAATGTTTTAATAATCAAAAAAGCGTTAGCGATAAATAGTGTTACCAATAATAATGAAGCTATTAATTCGAAAAAAAAACTTTTAGTTTTAGCGTAAATCTTTTTTAAAATAAGGTGTCACAAATTTTCATTTAAAAATTTACTTTAAAATCATATTTGGGGTTTTTTGGTAATTTATTAAATTGATTACTTTAATTGATAATATCATTTTAAGTACATACATATTTGATCCAAAAATTGGAGTGAACAGTGTTGTTGACTAGCCAGTCATGTAACGCCTAGAATATATGCAAATTATTTTACTTTTTGAATTATGCTTTTTAGTAGTTGCGAGTTATTTTTGTCGTATTGGATAATGGAGGAAACATTAAATTTTTGTGTTAAAATATATTGTAGAGGAATAGAGAAACCACATACATAACAAGAATTGGAAGAATTAAAATATCAAGAGGCTTTACTTTAAAAACTTCAGTTTTGCATTAAATTTTTTAAAATTTTGTTTTACTTTGCATCAAATATAAAATGTTCATTATATTTATCGCAAGCGTGTTATAAAGTTATTAAATAAGTTACTGAATTTGTTTTTATACATAAGAGCTTTCATAAATATAATACTGAAAAAAGATAACTAAAAAACGTAATAGTGTAAAAATATGAGGTGATGAATATCAAATATATTTTTAAGGTTATTGTGAAGGCTACTAAAAGCCGAGAGCCTGAACTTGCCTCGCTAAAATATTTATGCATTACTGTAACCGAACAATTAGGAAAGAAAATGAAAATAAAATGTGGTTTTAGTGTTTACTAAAAGAGATTTCAGAAAAATTATGTGGTAAATAGAACAGTATGAAATTTAAATTCTAAATAGGTGGTTTTTTAATTTATAAAGGGCGTTTTAAACTTGTGAAAATAAAATAATAATAAATATTTTAACTTTATTGAAATTTAAATAACAAAATTTGCTCTCCTAAATATAATTTCATTTACATTTTTTTTAATACTATTGGTAACACTGTCTATAGTGTATTATTTCAATATCAAAATAAAACAAAAAACAACAACAAAACAAAATTTAGACATTTTCATCTAATGTGATCTTCAAGTTGTCACCGCATTCTTCTTTAGTCCTCTGTATAAGAAACTTTATTTATTTTCTTGTTATTCTCTTTACTATACTTACAAGTTTATAATTAGAGGAAAAAAAGAAAAATATTTAAAATTTTTAATTGTGTCATACATACATACATGAATAATATAAATATGTATAATATGTGGGCGACAATATATAAGTGAAATGTGCTTTCATACATGGTATATTCAAATATTAAAGAAAATATAAAAAAAAAATTAATTTTTTTTTTTCATTTATGGTAAAATTTTACAAGATTAATTATAAATATTTTTTAAATATATAAATAAATATAAATTAACAAAATAACGGTGTACTAATTAAAAAAAAAACTATACAAATATAATTGAATTTTTTTTTTAATTTTTGATAATTTTTAATTCTAAGGTAATTTTAATATTAAAAATACATTTTTTTTTTAAATTAATTATGTTATTATTTTTTTAAGTACAAAAATGGAATATTTTTTTAAAAAATCAATAAATTAATTAAAGATTTATGTGAGGAGAGAATAAATTGTGCTTAGTGTGCATTTAATTTTTTCGTATCGCCCATAACAGATTTTTGATGTTTTTTTTAATGTTTTTTCGACACGAGTAATTATTGCGTAATAAAAAAATTTTCTTTTTTCTACATGTTACATTAAATTTTAACCACTGCTAAAATTTAATTACATGAAATTTTTAGCAATGTTAAATAAAATTTTAATTAAACTCTATTTAATAATAATTTAACTGTTATACGGCATTAAATTTTTTAATATATGTTTTTTTTATTGAAATACAATGTCATATAGTTTTTTTTTTCAATTTTTTTTTTTTTATAAAACATGTAATTCTATATTATAAAATTGTGAGAAAAGGACAGGAAAAATAAAAAAGAAACTAAAAAACATTAATTTCACCTCGAGATAATTTTGTTTGGTAAAAATATGATAAGGGCTGCCATTTTGTTCTAAATATAATAAAGTTATTACTTAATATTTTCCCCTCTATATTTTCGTATATATTTCATCTTATTTTATGAATAAACATATAAGAGTTCCTTGTATTTAATGAAGTTAATTAAAAAAATATTTTTTAGTACAATTTACTTAATATTTTTATTTAATTTTACCTATATACATATTTACTATCAACAACCGCATTAATAATTTAATATAATATATAGATAAAATATTGATTTTTGATTAGCATTAATTTTTTATTAAAACATTATTAAAAAAACATGGAATTCATCTTATATACCAAATATTAAAAATTTTAAATTTTAAATAAAATTTACGTCAGAACGGTATCAATACTTTATAAGTTATATTCAAACTTATGAACGTTGCATTTATTAATTTTCTCAGTTAATTAGATATTTGAAAAATACGTAATGTATTGCATAATTAAATTTAATCTGTAAGGCATATTACGAATCTGACTATCTATGCAACATAAAATTTATCTAATATATTTTCGATTATAGATTAACATAATTTTTTTTTGTTAATTAGAATTCCTATTTGGTTTAATACAGTAGAATTTTTAATAGGCTGCATCTGGACAACCACATTATATCACTCGAAATATCCTTTTCGTATAAATAACTAACATACATTTAGGCGCGTGCATTTTAAAAGCATTAAACACGGCTATTATTCTAATTGGTACAATATACAAAGCACATTTACGACAATAACGAAAAAACCTAAATGAAAAGAAAATTGTTTATATTCTTGAGAGTGGCACGAACCTTTATCAATATTTAACAATTTTTCATATAATAATTTAAAATTATGTTTCAAGTTTAACTAAATACAAACTTAATTTTAAAGTCATTTTAACTACATAAATATTTTCATAAAATCTTAAAAAATTTTAACACATTGGAAATTCAGGAAGTTTTAACATACTATCTCTTATAATAAATTATATTTTTTATTTCATAGATGGCAATTCTAGAACAAATAGTCATTCTTCTTTTTTTTTTGTTTTATTTATCTTTGGCTGTTTATAAAATATTTTTAATACTATTTAGTATATAGGTATTTTATATTTTTATTATGTACTTAGTCATTTACGTTATTCTTTTCGTATATTTAAGAGTTTGTTGAATTTTCCCACGATTTTCTCTTTACTATTTGAAGGTTGTAGTTTATTCCTTGGAGGTTGTAGTCAATTTTGAATTAATTTTTTCTTGAATAATTTTCTGATAAATTTTGAATATTAATTTTTATCTTTAATTTTTTTATGTTACCACAATATTCGAATTGTTTTTATTTTACTGATGGGATGCGAAATTATTTTTTAATTTATATCAGAAAAATAAAAGAAAATGTAATAATTAAAATGAATTCGCCCAGCTCAGAGCACTAATAATGTGACTGCCTATATGGAAAATCAAAAATATTAAATTTATACAAGTTTAAATTTTAAGGGGCACTTACATACATATAGTATTATGATGTATTTTTTAAACAATTTTGTAAACGAGACAAAACATGGTTTTTTAATTTGTTTTAAGTTAACAGAAATAATATTTTTTTTTTTAGAAAATTTTAAAATTAAACATACACATAAATATAAAATATACATACAATACTGAAAGAATCGGTAATTCATTACATTCTTTACAATAATAAACTTATTGATATTCCCATTAGCGTGTTCGAATTAAATGAGAATTGCGTAAAAATTTTCTTTCATAAGAAAATCTAAATGTAGTAAATTTCCAAAATGATTGCTTTTGACTAATTGAAAAATTAAAAAAATTTAAATTTAATTACAAATTTTATATTTACTTTTGACAATCAATTTTTGACAGTTAATGTTTGACCGCTTTGTATAGAAAATCACAAAATAATGTTTGAAGAAAATCTTAGTTCAATTTATTCTCTGTGTTACCGTTGTGTGAATTACTACATTAATTAATAATAAATTTTTTTTAAATTTCTCTCAAATGCAACAAGTTCTATTATTTTAAAATATACGAGAATAATCGAAATATACACACATACATAGGTATGTATGTATTTCCTTTTTTTTTCTCTCATTTGGCCCAAATTTTTAAAAGATTCTTATTTTATTTTTATTATATTATATATACATATTTAAAAAAAAGAAAATTACAAATGAAAACAAAGAGAAATACCCACTTATTTATGTACATATGTTTTTTTCATTTTATATTTTATTTTTCACTTTATAGTACAAAAATTTTTATATAAGAAAACATGAAAAACTTTATCCCATGTTTTTTGAACATGAGTTTTTCTTTATATGTATATGTATGTACGAGTATGTATATAATAGATACATATATTTAAAATATTTTTACTTATTTTTCTATTTTTGTAAATTTTGTTTTTAATACATATTATAATTTAATATAATTATATGTAGATAAATTTAAATTTTTGTTTAGGAACGAGTAGAATACATAGATATTTTAGAGGCTCAATTATTTTTTTACTATACTTCTGTTAGAAAATTGAAAAGAAAAATAGAAAAAGACAAAAACATAACAATCGACACAAATTATTAGTGGTGTGCGGATATAGTTTTCAGTTTTTCACGATTTTATTTTTAGTATGATCGTATCAAAATTTCATGTTTTTTTATTGTATATTTAATTTTTGTTCTAGTTATCATTCATTTAAATATTTTCTTTTTATTTCAAAATATACATATAATTATTATATGAATTTATATACATACATTGTTGTTTCAGTACAAACCAATTCATTTATAAATTTGAAGCAAAAATAAAAAAAAAATAAAAAAATTATTAATTATTTATAAAACATTAAAAGACCTGTGAAAATATTATAGAAATAGACGCGATATAACAACGATTAATAAATAAAGCAAAAAAAAAAAAAAATCATAAAAATATGCTCCAAATATTATAAAATATTAAATATAAGAATGTTTGGTGATTATAAATTTAAATTATAAACATATTTACATAGGAATTATTAGCAATGTAATTTATTGTGTCAAATTAAGTCAATTGTTAAAATAATTCCTATTATAATTTAAATTTCTTCTTGTGGATGTGCAATATAATTACATGAATAAAATATATAATTGAAATTAACTGGTCTCAAAATTTCTCTGACTTCACAATTACAATAGTACCAATAGTAACAAACAGTAATTAAAACAAATTTTAGCTTCCGAATTATAATTGTAGAATTTTGTTGTAATAGTGTAGTATTATATAAAATAAAATAATATTACAATCCATGGTGTATGAATTAATGTTTGTGTAATGATCATTCACTTGTACATAAATGTATTTTGCATATAAATATGTGCACAGGGTGATTCAGTAATGATAACAATATTATTTTTTAATTCTTTTAAAAACATTTCGGTTTAAGCTCCAATCAGCTTTCTTAAACGGAAATTATAAACAAAACCGTATTTGAAGTACATGATATATCGAAACCATCGATTCTTAATAACAATTTCCAGATTATATTTTAAAAAGAAGAAATTTTCGAAATAATTTTTTAAATAACATAAAGCCTCATCCATAACTATCACACAAGTTGCAAAATTTTTTAGTTATTTACCTGAAGTTCTACAAAATGTGGCTGTCTTATTTAATATTACAATTATGTATGAAAATCATACCGTTTAAACCTTTACGTTGAACATTAAAATTTTCCATGGATTATTTACAGAATGTTAAGTAAAATGCTAAATGTTAGAATGTTAAATGTTAGAATGTTAGTATGTTACGTATGTTTAATATAGAAATGTGAAATAAGTAATTTTTTTTATTTGTTTGAGTGTAAGAGATAACCATAATGGCTTCAAATTGTTCTTGTTTTTATTTTAATTTTTATTTTTACTCTTAAATTCTTTACAAAAAAAAAAGTATTTAAATCATTACAAAATTCTTTAATTTTTTCTTTTGTTTTCTACATTTTTTCTTCCTTTTTATTTTTTTTTTTATTTTTAGTTTTCCATAATTTTTAAAAAAATAGCAAAAAAAAAATCTATAATTCAAAATATAAAATAGAAAAATTTTTTTATACTACACGGTTTAAAAGACCAAAGCAATAATTAATTGTGATAATATGGAAAAGCCAAGTCGTCCTGTTAGAAATCGAAAACAGAGTAGGTTAGTACTCGATTTAGTCAGCTTGTATAAACCAATTTTAAAGAATAAAACTAATAAAATCTTAAGAATCCTAAGTAATCGTTTTGTTTGGATATTAAAAAACACAAGAAAAATGTTTTATGTTTTATTTAAATTTACTTTAATATTTATTATGTTTTTTTTTATTTTGGTTTTTTCTTTTTCAGTTTTATTCTAGAAGATCTCAGTGATGGAACTTAAGTTATTTCAATGTCAAACATTTTATTAAACTTTCAATTTTTTTTTGTCATATTTCAATTTATAAATATTTGCTTCTAAGGTTACTCAAGATAATAAATTTAAATGAAATAAAAATTGAAATTTCTCACAAAAAAAAATTTTAAATAAATTTAATTTATAAAACTAGACTTTTGGTTGAAAAACATGAATATTTTCTATTAAAGAAATGGTTAAAAGTCTAAAATTCTATTTGTTCTACATAATTTTTTAAGTATTTATGCAAGACAATTCGACATCACATAATTTGTTCTGTAAATTCAAAATATTTGGAGACATTTATAGATATTGGATGAAATACAATTTTCGGTTTTGACCAACTAAATTTAGACAATGTATTAATATTACATAGATTTTAGAATTTGAAAATACAAGCATTATGTGATCAAATTGAAAAACTCAATCGAAATGTAAATAAAATATGCTTATAAAAAATTATTACATTTTTAAAGGCAACCGCGAGAATTGTTTAATTGAAATCAAAAAAAAATTCGTAAAAATAAACTTTTTAATTCCTCAACGTAGGTCTACCACATTTAAAAAGTAATTTTATGATTAATTTACATAGCACTCTTTAAATTCCTAAATGTATGCAATAATATCAAGCTCGCTGACAATAATTATAGATTATCGAGGGAGTTTCGAATAAGGTGGCAAATAATTTCCAAATAGTTAAATAGTTAAACACTCCTTTAGCGATCTATAGCCTGTTGAAAAAAAAGGTACCAGATTTTTGCTGTATATAAATAAATGCTTATGACTTCGGTACCTTACCGCATAGAACAACAATCGAAAGATTGCTTTACAGACGATTAATTGATCTTTATTTTCGGCCTTAAAATCAATTTGATTTGATCTACAGTTTTCGAGATAAAGCTTGTTAAAGTCAGAATTTTTGTTTTTTTTTTAAAGTATTTCGAAAAACTTGAAATTTTGTCGAAAGCTTTTTTTTTGTTTTTTCGATGAGAAATAAAAGTTAACTTACATAACATTTTCGTCTATTTCTCATAATTTTATCAGTAAAATGTGTTAAATGTGTTTAATAAACAAGCGAAAAACGCATAGTTCATGCATATGTAGGCACACAATTTTTTGCTGGAAATTCATCAATAAATCATCCGTAAAATTGCTTGCCACCTTAAGCGAAACACCCTAAATGTTTACATATCGCTTAAATTTATTGTTGCCGACAATTTTTAGGCTAGAGAAATTGTGTTTTCTTTTCATAAACAAGAAATGTTTTAAAATTTTTTTTTGTATAAACTCAGAAATCTCATAATTTAAGTTATGTCAGGGTTGCAGCAAACGAACGATATGTACATGCGTCTTTTTTTAAAATATATAAATTTTGACACATAATAAACGTTGACAATTAAATCAAATATAGTAAATTTTCTACACAAAATATTTTTAAGTTCCATTACTGATTTTATTTTTTATTAGAATTAAAAATTTTTCTTTTTGCATTATTTTGTTTTGATTTCTTTATTTGTGAAAATTTTATTCATTTTTTTGCTTTTTATTTTTACTTTTAATAAAATTTTTTGTAATGTGAGTTTTTGGCCTCCATTATTTTTTTTTTACAGGCACAATAATAATATACTAAATGCTAATTACGGTTTTTTATAGTTTTGCATGAAATCTTGTATGTTTTTCTCGGTGCAATACCATCAGTTAGAGTTACATAAGTTGATACTAAGTCATTTTAGATTTTAGAGTAACATAAAAGTGCCCCAATAACCAGTGTGTGTCAAATAATTTGGGGATGTCAGATGTTGGAAACTTTCAAATAAACATCTTCATTAATTTAATGTTTTCTCTTTGATATACAGTTAATAAAATTATTTTAAGAAATTTTCGCAAGCTTACTCCAATTAAGTTAAGCTCCTATAATTTATTATTTAATAAATTTGTTAAGTATAATATTTTTTTCTAAATATCATTGTAATTAAAAATTTTTAAGAGTGCTGTTTTTTTTGAATAAAATAAATATAAAAGCATAAAAATTTTAAATTTGTTTTTGTTTTCATAAAAAAATACTTACGTTGACATTTAAATATAATTCTTCGTAATATTAATGACTTTTGTTTTTATTGAAGTTTTTTTATTTATAACACACAATTTCTTGACAAAAATTCATTTTGTTTTTATTTAATTTATTTATTTTGTTTTTAGACGAATTTGGCCAACTGGTGATATTACACACCGTCCAGTTAAGCGTTTATTTACCCCAGATATTAAAAAAATGTTAAAAGAATGGTTAATAAGACGTCGTGATAATCCATATCCGAGTCGTGATGAAAAAAAAGCATTAGCATATGAAACTGGTTTAACATATACACAAATATGTAACTGGTTTGCTAATTGGCGGCGTAAATTAAAAAATTCTGGCAAAGAACCTGTACGACGTTCATGGGGTAATTTAATTAAAAATTATAATACAAGTGCTAAAGGTAATGTTGAACAATTTAGTATAAGTTCAAATGATAGTATATGGGGTGAAGAGGAGAATAATTCAAATAATTATATGAATGATGAAGGTGATGACGATGATGATGACGATGATGAGGATGAGGATGATGACAATATTGATTCAAATTATTCAAGTGATTCTTATGAACGTGAGATTAGCAATGGACACCAGCGTAAACATAAAAGCAAAAATTCATATGAAATTAATAATAATTATTTAGAGCAATACAATAGAGAACCATATTATCCGCCCGGTTATCATTTTATGAATCCGAATTATCAATATCAAAAGGTAAATTATTAATAAAATAATAAATTAAATGCAATAAATTCGCGGTTACTATGTAATTGTTGTTATAATGAAAGATTAGATATTATTTTTGGCAAAATTCCAAAATTTAACGTTTATGCAAATAATAACGATCATCAAAATGTTGTAATTTTGAACAAAAATATTTTACTCTAAGAGTATATGCGCAATTTTACTTACTACCTAAACCTTTTTTGACTGATCCTATTTATCATTTGAATTTATCGGTTCATTACCATTAACATTGTAAGAATTTTTTTTAGCACCAATTAACTAGAATTTGATTAATGAAATTTGTCGTTGGGTTTGAGTAACAAAATTTTGGAAAAAAAAATCTTAAATACATAGTTAAAAATTTAAACAATATTCTAATTTCAATTTTAAAACAAAATATTTTACTAGTGATATTTCAGAAAAATCATATAAGTAACTTAAAGTTGTTCACTAAATTTCTCTTGTACTCATAACAATATTTTGAATCTTATAATTGTAAGTAAGGGGCAAGACACACCGAAGGATTCTAATCGATTTAATTGTATAGTTTAATTAAAAAGTAACCTAAAATTTCTATACTATACATATATATCTAATTATGAAATTAAAAAATTAAAAAATATAAAGAAATTTATTTTTTTAAAACAGGAAACTAGTAATGGTTTAGAATTAAACCATAAAATTAATTTATTGACTGTAAATTCAACAAAAACTTTTGAAGATTCAGTTGCTGACAATCAGCTCAGTTTTTCCGTACAACAACATTCGCAAGATCAAGGACAACAACAGCATCAACAAACAACCCAACAATCATTCTCAACTAACACTAAATACAAACAACAAATGATGGAAAAATATTTAAAAGACACTAATAATTATAATAATAATGGTAATAATATAAATAACCAATCGTCGAGTCCAACAAGCTCTTCAACAAATATTTCTTCCTCTAGTCCAGAATTATCAAAATGGCTAGAAAGTGCCGCAAAATTTACACCAAATAAAAATAATTATATAGAATGGAATAGTAATCAAAGGTAATTTTCTTTTATTCATGCTCAAAGTCATATGTGAGACATAAACATTTATAGTATTTAATAATAGGGTTTTAGAAACATATGGGGTTTCGTAATTTTTAAAATATCTTAGGGAAAAGATAAAGCTGATCTCTTTAACTATTTATAGTGTTCATCGGTTTTTTTACGTCTTAAAGGTTTTATGAATCTTATGATTTGTTCTTAAAATGTAAACATTTGCTTCTCCTCTTGTATTAAATTAAATTAATTTGATCGAATGATCGAATATGATAAATTTAATCTTATAATTATTTCACATTACCCACGGTATATTCCTCAGCTAAACCAAATCAGATAAAAGCGCATTTTCAATGACATTGTATAATTTTGCCATTTATATGAATATAAAAAATAGCGTGTATTGTAGTAAAATGATGAAATTAAAAATTTCAGTGGTAGTAAGGTACGATTCGTACTCTTAGATTTGGAAACAAAAACAATTTTGTAAATTTTGGCGATTTACACTTTTTAAAGAAAAACTTTTTCTATAAAAAAAATTGTTTCAAAATTTAATTATAATTTTTATTTTATTTTAGGGGGAAAGGTGATAAAAAATTGCAGAAATATAATGAGAATGGCGTTGAATCCAATATTCATATTTATAGTACAATTCATCAAAAAGAAGAACTTGAAGCTGCTGAAGCTCTAACAAATTTAGCGTGTAATTATAGAATGAAAATGATGAATAATATTGAAAATCATATTATAAATTTTTAATTTAAATTTTACACAATTTGTGAAATTCTAGTCTTATTATTGTATTAAATACTTAAATATTTGCAAAAATATATTAAAATTTATTTTCTTTTTCAAATTGTGACTGAGTACGATATTGTAGCAATGCGATTGAAATGTGAACATAGGAATACCACTGCACATAAGTGTATGCGAACCATAATAATCTTGTAAAATCATGATAATCTTGTTAGTAAAATTTTCTCTTAGTTTCAAACTCAAACAAGGGTTTGCTAATATTTTAATCAAAATTACAACCAGAAATTTCGTCATATGCATTAATGCTAACATACTTTGCTTACATTTACTTTTGCACAGAAATGTAGAATTAATTCTCGTAAGTTAACTAACATTTGACAATATCTTAACATTAAAGAAGTTGTGTTTAATAATTTTTTTGATATTTTTTCTTAATAATAAATCAAATTACAAATGAAAATTTGATTGAGGTACACTGTAGAATATGAAGTTTTTCTTCCCTGTCTATTGAATTTACATAAATATATTATTAAAGAAATTCTAAACGTACACATAAAATAAAATATGAGACTTCTTTCGCATTTTACACTTGATTTTCGTATTCAGAGTGTCCCAGTACAAAAATTGTCTAGTTTCTTCTCTTGCCAATATTTTAAATAAATTAATTATAGTCTTTTTTTTTTTGAGAAATTATCTTTATTTTTAATGAGTTCTTTTTTTTGATATTTTTGTTTTTTTTTTTTTTTTTTAAATACATAATTAAAATATTTTTTTTTAACATTTTTTACCTTGTTTTATTAAATTTTTTTTTATTTTATTAAATAGGTGTTGCTTTCTTTTGAATTTTGAAAAAAGAATATTAAAAAAAAAGTTTTTTAGGATTTTTTTAAAGTTAGTTTAAAACTAACACAAAAATTAGTAAAGACATTTTTGTAAAAAATAATGTCGTAAATATTGTAGTGAAAAAAATAAAAATTCGTACTTACTCTTGACATAAAAATATTTTAAATATATACTAAAACACACACGTTTATTATACTGTACTCTAGTTTTAATTGAAACTTGCTTTCCATTTCCCAACGGCTTGTTTTTCTTATTTACCCAAATTTACATTTTTATCATTTTATTAGTATTACGGGCATATATTACGTGAGTATACTGGCAATTTGAATTGATATTTAAAATAAAATTTTTAAATGGAAAATTTAAAATATCGGATGGTGTTTTAAAAGGTCAATAATTTAGTAATCGAGAATTTTCAAGTGGTTATATCAAAAAAAAAAAATTATAAAAGCATATTTGATAAATTTTTGGGTAAATCTTCTTATTTAAGGTATGAAGATATGAAACAGAATTTACATTTTTTTTTGTATTTAAAAACTTAAAAAAATAAATAAATTGATATATAAACTAAGATGAAGTTGCTATTAATTACACTTCAATGTTTCATTTCTGTGCAATATTAATAATTTTACTTATGTAATTATAGTAATTTTACACGATTTTTATTTGTGATATAGGTATGTACTTTCAGTGTAAAAACTAATTGAAATAACAAATTTTATAATAGCAGAAAATGTTGAAATGTAAAAAATTTATAAAGTATATTCAAGTATAACAAATTAAGTTAATAGTATATTTCAAAAGGCTCGTTTTTTTAAACTTTTAATTGAATGTGATCAATATAACAGCCGCATTTAAGATTCTTTAATGGAAGGACTATTCTAGGTTTTTACTTTCTAATTGATTTTGTCTGTTATACTTTTACTATAGCTATTAATATTTAATTATCGAAATATTTTTTTAAAAATGACAAGCAAAGATATTCGTTATACGAACAAATTTTCCTCAAAAACTAAAATTAATAATTTACTTTTGTAAATCTAGGAAATAAGATTGAAAAACCAGGCAAATATTCTATAAATTTTCTATACGAAAATTGACCCTAGTAAGTATATTTTAGTTTAGTTAGCATTTTTTAGTTGTGTGTGAATTTTTTCAAAATTTGGAATATTAATTAAATTACATAAATTATGTCAAGTACAAATATCTAATGCCAATTTAATTATTTTCCTCAATTTTTATTAAAAAAAAAAAACATTTTATTTTTTTTTTATAAAATTACATTGTATAATCAATTAAAAAAAAAACTTAATAAATAATTTCTTTTATAGTACACCATTAATTACAATAATAAAAAAATTATATTTTTTTTTCTTTTTGAAATTACCTTAAAGTACCAACATTTAAAAATAAAAAATGGGCGCTAACTATTATTATTTTTAATATATAAGTAGAAATTAATACATTTTTCCTTTTTGTTTTTAAGTATTTTAATTTAACTTTATGCTTACATTAGGATTAAAAAAATATTTAATTTCACCAATTTTTCTGTTATAGTAAATTTTTACAACATTTTGAAAAATTTTTTAAAGAAAAACAAAAAAACTCGTTGGAATTGCGACTGAAACCACATTTATTAACTTTATGTTTTTACAGGTTCATATTAACTAAAAATTCATTAATTTATTTAATTTTTTTAAGATGTTATGAAATTATATAATTTTAATCAAAATGTAAACATTTAATTTTGTTTATATTGTTATATTTAAATTGTAAATTGTAATTTTTGTTTACTTAAAGTTGCTCTTGTTATTTTTAAGTCACATGTTAAATTTTCAGTATGTATTTAATTGTGTTTTCTTTCATTATCATTTATACTTAAATTTATTTATTTTAATTTTTATATATATATATATGTATATTTTATAATATTTTACAATTTTATTCACAATAGTTTAAGTAATTTTGCAAAATTGATTTTCTCATATTATTATTTATTTTATTTTCATTTTTTTAATTTTCCAATATTTTATGTTTATATCTTAACTTGGTGGACCAAATTTACTTGTAATTTTATGAGAAACATTCACAATAGCCATTTCATGCTTAGAATCTAATTCACAATCGTACAGACCACTTAAAGAATCTAAACTTAATAAACGTGAACTAGCACGACTCGATATTGATGTATCATCAACATCTGGAGCATTATAGAGAGAATTAACATCAGAGAGAGCACCTTCAGCATCCGTTAGACCAGCCTCATTTAAAAGTGATATATTTTCAAGACCCGGTTCATCAGTAATATAACCAGTTGATTCAGCACCACCTACCAAATTTAAAGTTATTATTAATTTTGTATTATAATAAAAATAATACAAGTTAATTACCAGTAGCTTCTTCCCTACAATCATCATCAGACCATTCTGATTGACTTTCAACTGGATTTGAATCCATCGATTGATGATGGTGTCCAGCACCGAATTTTAATTCATCATTTATCACATTATCATCATGTCTATCATTTAAATGTAAACGATTTTTTTCTTCATTGCCATCATCTTCATCATCTTCACCATCATCATCAGCGTCACCATCTGTTGTTGTGCCACCACCACCCACAACACCATCATCATTACTACCTAATCTATGTTTACGATCTCTACCAGCTTCATCATCTTCATCAAATTCAACATCATCTAAATTATCTTCAGTATCATCACGTTCTCCATTAACGTCTAAACTTTCACGACTATTTTCGCATTCACTGGATTGGCAGCGTCTCAAACGATTCCCACTTTCATCTATATGATGTTGACGATGATGATGACGATGATGATGCTGATGATGATATTGATTATGATCTTTGGTATTTGATTTGTTTGTAGCGGCTAGGTCAAGCATTTGTAAACTCATTGGATTTCGATTTTCGTGTAGTATTTCACATGATTCGGTATCGGATGTTTGCCTGTAATTAATGTAAATGCAAAAATTATTTATAATAGTTTAAGAATCGACTTTCACTTACATTTGGCTTGATTCTGAAGGATTCTTATTTCTAGTTATTTCTTTGATTGCTTCTAATCCAACCGGATGTTTAGCAATCATAAAGCTTGTACTAATGGCCATTTTTGAACCTTTATCAATCGATTCTAATTCATATTTATTAGTCTTATTATTATTATTGGATCCTAACATATTATTGCTACTTGTATAACTTAATTCTATATTATTTCGACTATTCATTTGCTGCTGCTGTTGCTGTTGTAATTGTTGTGCTATATGACCATTTGATGAACTATTATTAAAGTGATTTCGACTTGACTCATTTAAAAGTCTTTGAATTTCTCGTTCAAATGGCGATTTCGCTGCTAATTGACTACTTCCATTACCACTATTAGCACCATTACCATGTCCAATAGCATTTATAATTCCCATAGCACCATTACTACAGTTACCACCATTACCTCCACCATTCAGTCTGTCATGATGATATTCAAAACTATTGCATGAATCACCTTTATTATGTGTTGTTGCCGTTTGACCTTGGCTTTCTGTTGTTGAACTGGCTTCAAAGTCTTTTAAATTTGATATGTCACCAGGGCTTAATTTTGGTGATGTAGGATCAACTTGAATATCACATGGATATAACCATTGTAACGGGTTTATGTTTTTGGTTAATGGTCCGCCCATTAATCGAGGAGAGTTATCATCTTCACCTTCACCTTCAGTTGTTTTTGAATAACTTTCATCTGATGAACTCATACTTGGCGAATGGGCACGTGAACTTAAATCATCAGTCGATGACATTTCACGAGTTTCTTCAATATCTGGTGGCAATTTTGGTAATGGTTTCATATAGCTTCGAAGAACTGGTGTATTGCTACGAATATTTGAGCTCTGAATCATGTGTGGTTGTTGTTGCTGCTGGAGTTGCTGTAGAATTAGTTTTTGTGGCATTTGTGTAGGAATTTGTTGTGGATATTGCGGTAATTGTTCTTGATGTTGGATGTGCTGCTGCTGTAATAATGGCATTGGTGATGATGAACATGTATAACGAGGTGGTTCATATTTTGGTGGATTTTGTTGACGTGGTATTATCTTTTGTTTTTTGTATATTTTTTATTGTATTTTTTTGTTTTAAATCAACCGTGATTAGATTTACATGTAAATACATAATATAAACATGCAATACATAGAACACATAGTAGTTTTTAAAATAAAAGAAAGAAAAAACAAAACAAAATTAGTTATATTATGGTTCGTGAAGATAGTGTTATATACAAGTTCAAATTAAAAACTAATTTTCTTGAAGTTATTTAGTAAATAGGTGAGGATGACCGTAAAAAATAGTTTAAAATAAAATGTGAATTTAAATTATAAGGTTACCAAAGGTTTTCTGTATTTTTATAACATTTTATAATTTTTACAATTGACTGGCAGCAGAGTAGTTCCAAAGTAATGCAAGAGATACAAAGAAAATACAAAAAGGGTGCATAATTTGTAGTATATAAAAAAATAAGAAACGTTTCTGAAGAATAATGTAAATACTGAAAAATAAATTTACGTTTACGATTTTTCAAGTAAACAACAATGATTTACTACACCATTAAAAATTTTCTAAAACTACCGTATTTAATTCTATTTAATTGTTGCATAAGAAATCATCTTACGATTTTTTAAATTATAAATTAAAGGGCAACGTTTGGTGTAAAATTTGTTTTAAATTTTTGACATTTCAAACACCTATCGGTCCTTAAAAAGGAAATTAAGATTGTTTTATTAGCTATAATCCCTTCAAATAATAATTATTGAAATATTTTATTGTATGTTTAGGAGTAAAGAATATTTTTTTAGTATAACAATTAAATGGTGCGTACTATAAACATTCTAATTTATTTACAAAACTTATTAAAATATAAGGGACTAGAATGATTATTTGATGGCCCTTTTATCAAATGTTTAAAATATTTGTAATATTATGAATTTTTATGCAAAAGTATTTTTGAAAAAATAAAAGTTTAATTACAGTAATTTAGAAGAAATTACCAGAAACGCAATAAGTTGTTAAAAATTGATTGAATTATACATATTAATTTTAAATTTATAAATATTTTTTTAATATACACAAGCTCTTGTAGTTTTCGAGCAAATTTTTCTTAAACAGTTCTAAAATGCAATAGTCAGTTCTAACAAATAGAAAGATAATGATTTTTTAAATACTCTGGGTAAATTTAAAGCTTTCAGCTAAGGTATGACATTGTGTTCGATATATAGACCATAGTATCATAAATGTTTTAACAATTCTTTTACATACATTAAAAATTTTTAATGAGAGTGTGACATTCGTAATTGCCAATAATTATTAATAAACATTTTTAGTTACTTGTGTCATGCTACAATTACTCTTACAGTTATAGTTATTAATATTATGTACAATATATTTTATGAATGTGTAAGTATGTTTATGTTTGATTTAATGTTTAAATATTGTATTTTTCTTTAATATTTTGCTTTTATAATTTATTACTTACTTTTGCAATAGGGGCGGAATGCAATAATGGTTCGTTTTCACGGCATGAATTATAATTATTATTAAATTGATTTCTAATATTTAAATGTTCTCTTCTCATTAAATTATTATAATTTTCAATTTGTCCATAATTTTCTCTAATGTTATAGTTGTCACCATTAATAATACTAGGATTTTCTGTTATATTGAAATTTGATTTTGTTAATATAGCATTTGAGGCAATTAATTGTTGTTGTGGTGATAGAATGCCACCATTATTACCACTATTTAAATTTGCTGGTATCTGTGATGGAAAATTAATACCATTACTACCATTATTTGTGCTATTGTTGTAAATTAAATCTCTTTTATAATAATTTTGATTAGCTTCTCGATTCATTATTTCACGATTATTTAAATTTTGTTTATTATATTTGCAACGATCATCAATATATTGTTGTGGTTGTTGTTGCTGTTGATGGTGTTGTTTATTAAAAACATTATTTGAATTATCTACATAATTATAATTATCTTTTTTATTATTATAATTTTCGTTATTAATATTTGGTAAATAATTCTTTTCATTAAATTGTGATTGTTTTTGATAATATTCAGCTGGATGCATTTGATGTGATGTCTGTTGTATTTGAGGTGGTTGTTGTTGTGTAGTTGTTGTTTGCGGTTGTTGTTGCTGTTGTAAGTAATTATTTTGAAGATTCTGTGGTTGTTGTGATCTATTACCTAACATTGCATTACGTACTTCACCATTTAATGCATTATTTTGTTGTTCTATTAGAAAATATGTTATCATATCACCTTTTCCTTTAACTTTAATTTGGCCACGACATCTAGAGAAAGTGAATATATGTATGTATGTGATTATTTAAATCAACAATTCATTTTTATGTTTGTAATATACATGTATTATACATATATATGTAAATATATATGTAGATATTTTATAGTTTTTACCGAAATTCAAAATGAGATCCCTGCAAGCTATCAACAACTTCTTGTGTAACTTGAGTATAACCAGCTATTCCTGTAGAGTCCATACGACTTGCTACGTTAACAGTATTACCCCAAATATCATATTGTGGTTTTCTTGCACCTATAACACCAGCTACAACAGGACCAACATTAATCCCTATAGAAAATAAGAGAAGAATACAAGATTCTCTTTACATACGACTATGAAATTTATAGGGAAATATGTTTGAAAAAATTTACAATTATTTGATTTAAAAACATCAAATAATTTAATTTAAAAACAAGAAAACTTTTAACGTACTATTGTGTATAAATATTTATGTATACATATATTTCTTAAGTAATTAGTATTCTTTAACTAAAAAGAGTGCATCATTTTCACCTACCTATTCTTAATAAAAAGTTATTGTATGAATGATCATTAATTTCTTGTAAAGAAACTCGCATTGCCTTCACATATTCAATTAATGCGGTCATCTGACGTCTTATAGAGTTGTGATCATTCGGATTCATTTTATAATCTGAAAATATTAAAGAAAAAGATTCAAATTATTATAAATTATGTATAGCTACTCGTATTTAAAAATAAAATACAAAAGTAAACCTTAAATTGTACATGATTTGAATTTATTATTGTAATTTAAATACCTGGTATTAAACCTACAGCTGCCATATATGTGCTACCGACGGTTTTGATTTTATCTATTCCATGAAAACGTTCTTCTTTCAATAACTATAAATTAAATATAAAACATTAACATTGAATTAGTAAAAAAAGTAAAAGTAAATTAAAATTAATATTCCTAACTAATATTGTTATTGTAAATTTCGCACCCTTAGTTGAAAACTTTTGATTTTATTTTAAAATGTTAACTATGATTTTAAAATTTTCAAATCTTAAATTCAATATCTAGAATTAATTATTGTTTAAAATTATTCCGCCTCATTATCGATTAGTATTGTAATCGATTTCTTAAATAATCAACATTTTGACGTTTAACAAAATCATGTGTAGTCTTTCCGTTTTGATAATTTTATAGGAGAAAAACAAGTGTGGATTTATTTCCAGTTTTATTATAGATTGATTTTTGATACGAGGTAATAAAGGTTTAAGAGTGCGATATACATGTATATATAATTTCAATATAATACTCGTAAATAAATTAAACTGTAATGTTATAAAATTTTTGTTTTAAATTAACAAAATAAGTTAAAAAGTTACCTCATCAAAATCAGCGATTATTTCATTTAAAAGTCTTAAACATTCTAATCCTTGATCTGACCCATCTAATTCAGTATAAAATTCATGAAAATTTGGTACTGATGCAAATATAACACCAACTTTAGCATAACTTTGATGATATAATTCCTGTGATAGATTACCCTGAAATTATTAGCAAACCAGAATCTCATAAAAATTAATTTCTTTTGGGGGGAATGGGGCATCATAATCATTTCTGAACAACCACATTTAAATCCAAAACGTAAGAGAAAATCAATGCAACATTGAGTTTTTACATCAAAACGCTATATTATTTATACGTTCGCTATTTTTACATTGTAATTTTATTGTTGTTTCATTTTATTTTTATACAAGATGTTGTTATTTTTGTACAGCAAGCCGTGTGTGTGTTTTTTTTTCTTTGTGTATTTTTAAAATATAACTCCATTTTTGTGATCTTTTTGTGAACCTTTTTCAATGCTCAAAGTTTGAGTGATTTGTTTAACATAACAATGTATAAAATATTGTAAATGCAGATGCAAACTAACGTTGATAAATAGTGCACAATATCCAGAGTTAAAAATTTTACTCAAATCATATCGTAATTAGAAAATATTTTGCGAAAAAAAATTATTAATGATGTTATGTCATTTAAATTGACAAAAAATTTTTTAAAAAACAGAAATGATTGCCGTTTTTTTTAAAAAATGGGTATTGATGAAACATGATATTTTTATAGAAATTTTTATTTACATAGTTGCATATATATACATATGTGCAAAGTTTCAAAAATATTATAATTAGATCCAAATTATTCTTATAAGTCGAAAAGTAATTTTTTTATAATTTAAAACAAAAGCGATGCGACAGATGTCGCCGGAATAATATAATTTTAACAAATTTTTATTGAGTTAAAATTAGCAACCACTTATTATTGTTTCCAAAATAAAGTAGTAAATGAATTTAGAAAGTAGTGATATTTGTGTTATTTTTTAATTATAAAACTAAAACATTTTGAAACTAAAACTAGAACATTGTTAATTCAAAATGGCACATATAATTATTAAAATAATAAAACTATTTTGAAAAGTTTTACTCCAGTGTTCGACTAAATATTTTTTAATAGACGCAATATTTACATAAAAATAATTAAATTTGTTTAGTGGGGCAACTATATTAAAATTAAACATTATCATTGTATATTATGTTAGGCGTATAAAATATTTTGGCATATTTTGAAAATTATCTGTATATAGTCTGTATTATGACAAAATGAAACTTAATTAGCAAATAATAACATATACCATGTAGATTATATTAAAATAAATTCTTTTTTATATTTAAAATAAATAAATTTGTAATTGATTTATATTACGATAAAGAAGACTTCCAAAACATATTTTAATAGCATATGTATACATTACATTTATTGTCAAAATTGAGTTACTGAATATAGTAATTTTTAAAAGACAGTGTTGAAACACTGTTAATATTGTGAAGTATTTTATATGCCATACCAATAATATTACTTGTAGTAATACAAAAAAAAATAATATTTTTTTCATTAAAAATTCTTTTCTACAAATCCCTGTCTTCATGATGTCATGTAAAGTATGTACTTTGGAATATTGTTTTTAACTCTTACTACTAATTTTTTAATAAAACTGTATAAAAAAATATGCCAAAAGAAAAATAGTAAAATTAAAATAAAGGTTACCTAATAATTATTGATAATTATTGACAATAAAAATGTGGCCCTCTCTATAATTTTTAAAATAATATGGAAAATAAAAATGTTGTGTAATTCATGATAGTATATTCAGAGGATGTCAAATAATAATATTACATATATACATAATATTTTAAGCCAATTTTAAAATTATAAAAACAACAATTTAAAAAAAAGTGTGTAGCATTTATTCGTTTTAGCATTTCCATTAATAATTGTATTGATAAAGTGTTGTAATCATCAATCTTAAAAATGAATCTTGATAGAAAATAAATTAAATGTTCTTACAGTATTTAGTTTTAGCTTTAATTTTTAAGAACATTTAAATTATGATAGAAATCATGAGTTGATTAAAGCAGAACTTTACGAAATTTGTAAAATTTTTCTATTGTGAATTTATATGCTTGTCAATTAATAACTTTTACAACCGGGACAGCTAATCATTTTAACATTTCTTTAAAGTTAATTTGAAATGTAGTAAAAACGAATAAATATTACCTACTTGCAATTGAAGTTAAAGAATTAAAATTTAAAAAAAATTGATTATTTTCCAATTAAAGCACATTAAAAATATTTAAAATAAAATTCAAAAAAAAAAAGCATTATTTTTCAAGCCAATTCGAAATCAAACAACAATGATAAAAATTAGTAATTTAAAAAAATTTAATATGAAATATTTTAAATATTTTATTAATATTTTACTATTTAAATATACAGAGTGATTTAGAAATAATTGCAGAACCATTGCCCACCATATATTACCACACATAAAATGGGTAAAACTTTTGTTTAAAACTTATACATTTTTAATTCATTGTATGATTTTATATGGCTCAACAATTTTTTGTGAATCACCTTGAATATAACTAGACAATGTTATATGTATATAACTATATTCAGAAATCTATATGAATTATAAATATGTATTAATAAATATATTAATTAAAGTACGATTTTATAACAATAATATTTTTGTTTTAATTGAAAAAATTTTTGATCATATTCACCATATTGCTACGAAATTGATTATCGAGGAAATGTGCTGCAACATGAGCCGGTAATAAATTATGTAGTATTCTTTTATTTGATTCCTGTAAAACATCCATTTCCTTTTTCTCTTGTGATGCTTGCAATTGCCATAAAAAATCCAATCGAGCTGTCCATTCAACTAAACGTCCGTGAACAAGTATTGCAATCATAAAAATAACAATTCTTGCCATTGATATCAAATGTAATGGTATCGGTGAGCTATTTTAATAAAAAAAAAAATTGAAATTTAATTTTAATATTTTTTAGATCTTAATTTGATTGTGAAGGTTTGCAGGTTTTATTGTATTAAGTTCAAGTTTGCAACATTGATATTCTTGCATTTTTGATAAAGAATATTCAATGAACATACTTTGATTTTCTAAGTTTAGGATTTAAAAAGAACGTAATGCTCTGATCAAAAAAATTAAAACGACAAAAAAAATTTTGTTTTGCTTATTCCAATTAACTATTTCAATTCCAATTATTATTTTTTTAACATAAATGGAAACTTTGGAGTTCATAAGATATGTGAATGCATAAATGATTTGCGTTTTTAAGATTCAAAATATCAAGTACCGGTAAAATTCAACAAAACTAATTTTTAACAAAATTTATTATGTTTATTATATCGTACTGAAGACAATTTACATTTCTATAGCCTGTAATTGACTTCCAAAACTAAATATAATCTAAATTTTTCTTTTGTTGAAATAATGTGTAAGGAGAGAGAGAACATTAATTAAATAAATTTTTTATTTCAAAAAAATAAAAATAGAAAACTACAAATTTTATTTTTTGCTCTTCATAAATCTAAAAATTATTTTGAAATTTTCCAAATGACACCAAATTATTTGTTTATAATTTCTATTAACTGAATGCTATTTTTGGTATTCCTTGAGGAATTTCAGAATTTTTTTAAAAACATGTGCATACACACTTCAGAATCTTAACAATAAAATATGAGGAATTTCGCCATAGCTACGATATACATATATGTACATATATAGCTTTCAAAATTAATCACATGAAAACACATAAAATATAAAATAAGGGATAAAAAATAATAAATCATAATCAGATTCAATAAATTTATCAATTCTAAGGGATTAGTTTGTGATTATAAGTGGGAATTTATATTTGCCTGGTCATTATAAAACACTACAACATATTTTTCATTCTTATGGACTATTTCATTGATTAAATATAATTTCTATTATAATTTTATATATATACTTACTTTACACGAGTATCGTAGCATTCGAATATATTGGCATGTGATAATTCAATGTATAATGCGTAAATTGTCCCCATTAATAGAACTAAAAGGGTCTTTATTATTATTGGTAACCTGTTGAATTAAATGAAATGGAAAATAATTTAATATATAAAATAAATAAAATTGTACACATAAATTAATTAATATTATACAAATAATTATATAAAAATTGAGTTAAAAAAATATTTAATGAATAATTTAGCAATATGTTTCCATTAAGAAAATGTATTGTTTTTAAAATAGTTGGTTCTAACTTCCTAAATGAGCACAAATGCAATTTACAGTGTAATAAATAATGAAAGTTTAATTGTGTTAAAAATTAAATTTAAGGAGGAAACAAATATTTTTCTTACCTTAAAAACACCGAAACAGATAGAAAAGCAAATGCAGCTGATAAGGAAACATATTGTGGAAGAGAGCATTTTCTATGACCATAATATTCTTCATCTAAATTTGACACACTTGAATTGCATGTTTTAGGATGATCTGATACACATGTAAACTAAATTAAAAATAATTTTTGAATTTAAGTTTCTTATTTAATTTTCTTTTATAAAAGTAAAATAATTTTAATGAAAACTTACCACATTTACTTGGCCAACAGAATATAATAATACAATTGTAAATACTGTAATTGCTAATCTTAATGAAAAACTTTCTGATAAATCCCATGCAATCCATTTTAAGCGAACAGCCAATAAGAGCATTAAAATTGAACTGACCCATATGAATGCAGTTAAAAAGAGTAATAATAATATCAAAGTTCTTGGAAGTGCTGATACTTGTAACGCTGCACCTAATATCAATAAAATTAAGCTGCATACCATTGCTGTTGTAAAGCCTAAATCAAAATCTTTACGATATTCCCGTTCTTTATCACTTTCACGAAATCGTAATGTAATACGATCAACATGAGCTGATTTTTCACGATCAACTGAACGAGCATTAATTGCTTGTGATAGGAAACGATTAACACGATTTGTCGGTTGATGATGAACGCTTGAATGACGTTTTCTAAATGGTCTTTTGAATTTATCGGTTACTTTGTTCTACATTAATAGTTCCATTTTTTAGTAAAAATACCGTTGTGACAGTAAATTATTTGTTGTAAAAAAATGCAAAAAAAAAAAAAACAGAAACCAAAAATTTTAATATATTAAAAAATAAATGCAATTAATAAAATAATTTATTTTTTTTTTTGTTTGAAATTCAAAAATTTCGTAGCAGTATTATAAAAATTTTCTAAAGTAGAGTTATTATGTGAAATAAAGTAAGTAATTTGATCATTTTAGATATTAAAATGATTAACATGAAAATATTCTTCCATTCAGTGGACTTTAACATACTGTATTGCTTGAATGCTAATTGAATTTGACAGAGAGCTGTGAAGTGAGATACACTATACTGAACATTGCTGTACATGCAATATATTTCGGAATTTTAAGAATTGAATGAAATAAAGAACAAACAATTATTTTTTATTGAAAGGAAATTTCTATTTTGAATAAAATTTTTTTATAAGTTGTCACTGACTTTTCTCTTAAATACAATTGTTATGAAAATGTACGTACATATGAGAATTCGAATACTATGTATTTAGAATATATAATGTAGCTATATGTATAGAAATTTATAAAGTTCTGCCAAATAGATTAAAAATTTATTTTCGCCTAAAATTAGGCAAATTTCATAATTTTTGAAAAACACGATTTCAACATTCATTAGAAAGAATATTTTCATTTACAAAATGTACATTTTACGATTTTGATAGACTTATTGATTATTAGTTATATGTAAATGTATAATATATGTATGTATTTATTATTTTATTACAAGCATGCACTAATTTGAAACATTTGTTTTTGACGTTTTTAGTATAATTTTATTAAATAAACAAAAACACACTATGTAACACTAATAAAATTTATAATTTATCTAATATTTTTGTATTATACATAAGAATTTACTTGATAAAAGCGTTTAAAATTTATTTATAAGTTTATTCATATTCGATACTTTGAAAATTATTTTTAAATAGTATGCCATAAAATGTATTCTATATGTTAAGTTTTAATTTAAGCTTATATTTTGACTACAAGCCTTTTCATTGGTGCCAAATCATTTACATTTATGACAGAGCAAAAAAAAATATGTATATATATTTATGGATCAGTAATGTATACCATATACGAATGTAATTATATAAGAAGAAAATTTAAAACATGCAAAATTCGACGGATTAAAATGTCAAAAATTTTTCTTAATAAGAGCTGGTGGCACTTATAAAGCAATTCATTTTTAACTACTTTTTGTGACACAATGTTTTTATTGTGAATTTAAAAATTTAAAAATGGCATTTGATTCAATTTGAAGTTTATGATAGATTTTGTTTGAGCTTATCTAAAAAAAAAAATATATATGTATTTATATTATATAAAAAGAAAGAAAAAATAAAGTAAAGGAAAATGTTATATTTAAAGTGAAAATTTTATAATATGAAAATTTTGTTCAATAATTTAGAATCGTTATTTTGTGTTTGTTTTATGTAATTAAATATGTTAGTGTTTAATTTAGTGTTAGACATCTAACAGAGAAAGTTTTTGACAGTAAAAAAACATTGTGTTGTTTTTGTTTCAAGTTATTAAACCCGAAATAATTATCCATTTTTAAATAAGAAACTTAATTGAATCAATTAAAGTCAAGAGTAGTAAGTCAAATAGAAATAGGTATTTGAACAGAAAGTGCTTATATAATTGAATTAATTGAATGCCATTTATTTTTATGTATGTATGTATATAGTTTGACATATAGAATTTTAAATTGAACAAGATAAAGAAAGATAGATAGTTTTTATAGTACACGATCAGAACATCATGTGGTTATTAAATTTAAATAAATAACAAGTACACTTGAATTTTACACTTAAAAATTTATAGAATATTATTACAAATGTTGAACACAGATTTAGTTTTTGAAAAGTTCTTTTAAATTTATTATTACTCTTAATTTTATTAAAATTTGGTTTTAAAAATTATAATATTATAAAGACGTTTATCTAAATGCAGATCTAACGTCAACTTGATTTATTCAGCAACTTTAGTCAAGACCCAAATTGACAGGAGTTCTGCATTTACAAATAGGTTTATTCAAATATTTATCAAGATATTTTAGCTCATGCTATAATTTCTCCTGTTATGTGTAAGTATATAGCAAGTAAATGATATATACTTAATTAGAAAAATTCCTAATTTCCTGACTAGTGTTTCTTCTTTTAATTAATCATTATACTGTTCGAAGTGAACGTTAACTAATAAAAATAATTTATAGGCTCGTTAAATCGAAGATTAAATTTTCGTAGTAAATTTTTGTTTTTTTTTTTTTACAATAATTCGACTATTCTTGTTTTGTTTGTGGCTTATAAATCTTACCCAACAAGATGAACAGCAAGTAGCAAAACGACGTTCTATACTTCTTTCACTAATTCTACTACCCCGCTAAAAATAAAAATTTAAAATGACATTTTATAAAAAGTTGATAAAAATCTCTTTGCTCTTTAATAATAATTGGTGCTATTTTTGTTTACTTTTGGATCGAGGCCTCTAAATTACAGGTTTTGGATTTTATTTTGTATTTACACAACTCTTTGAATGGAAATTTGTTGTGAATTTTAGGGAATAATGTGCTTACTGCGGAACTCCGTTTTGTGATTAAAAAAAAGAATTCTTTTTTACCTAAACAGGGTCTGTACAAATTTATAAAATTAAATGTTATATAATTTATATTTTTTATTTTTTTTGGAAATAAAAGTAAAATAATTAACAAATAGAATTAAGGGCGATTCTTCTGAAAATGTTTTTAAGATTTCCTTTATTTTCAAGTTATCATACAATATACAAATAGTTTTGAATGACAAAATGACGAACAAATAACCTCAAAATATAATTAAAGACATAAAACTTTTCAAAAGAATTACCAATAATTTTTCTTTTTTTACTGAAAACGGAACACTGACATTTCACACAATAAAAATTTTCGGAAAAATTGAAAAATATTTGGTTTATATTTTCAAAATGGTATAACGAACATTTTAAACATTTTGTATTTTGTGTTGGTGTTTTTGAATACGAATTTTCTACCAATTTACAAAAAAAAAAAGTAGTTGATAAAGTGAGAAAGAGACGGCCATATACTATATATAGAAATTTTGTGTGCAGGAAACTGACGACACGAAGAAAACGATATAATTGTGAATAATTTTTAAAATTAAATTGTCGCACAAAAATGAATATGTAATAATAATAAAAATATTAAACATAATTACTTAAGTTTATTGGAGAAAAACAAAGAATAAAATAAATTTTTAAAACTATATTAATAATGCGAGCGATATTTTATTGTTAATAATTAAGATTAATTCTTTAATTGATTTTTGTATCGAATTTTGTTAAAGGCATAAATCGATTTTTATAAAATTCAACATATTATGTATGTATGTACATATGAAGAAATGGCATCTCAATACATTTGACTATTCAATGTTAAAAGAAAATAAGAGTGACATTTCACGAATATTGTTTTGATACAAAAAAAATGAGAAATAGAATATTAATTGACAGATCTTTTGTTGTTTCTCATTGCTAATATTTTTTGTGAAATAATTATTATGGATTGTTTGGACATAATTTTGATTACATTCAAAATCAAATATAATTGCATTATGTACAACTTAAAAAGTGGTGTTAATAGAATTTTGAGAATCAACGATTATTAAAACAAAAGTGACATTTGATAATTATTTATAAAAATTTTTGCTTAAATAACATTATTAAACATTCTTTTTAATGAAATGTTAGCCAAGATTGTCAACTATTTAAGATTTACGTATTGAAGCATCACTTAGCGAGGTAAAATATTAAATGGTTCGAATATTATTCTAGGAAATAAGTTGAAAAATATATAAAAAAAAATGTTTACATTTAAACACATAACACAATGATGTATCAGAATGGAGAATATGAATCTATGCAACCCTGTGGGTTAAAAGAACGCCTAGAATACGAACAGGTCAGCAGACTTGGGTCCTGATCCGAAAAGGTTTTTTTTTATTTTTCTACCTCCAGATTAATTTTGAGAAAATGTAAACAATCCATAGCGTCTTTCATACATATTTTTATTTACTTTACGGTTCTTATGACACTCAAAAGATTTTTTAAAATTTCGATACAAAAATACTCATATGCACTTTAAATGTAATGAAATTAATGGTCGCAATTATTTTTGTCAGTAAGAAAAAAATTATGAAAAATTAAATTAAAAAAAAAGACAAACACGACGTTATTTAAATGTAAAAACTAAAATAATAAAAAAAATTACAAAATCACATGGAATCAAATTTTGATAAAAAAAAATACAAATTAAGTTGAGAAAAATATACTTATGATTATACCAACATCTTACTTTACGAAATAATTAATTTACTTTCGCAAAGATAATTAAAATATTATTAAATTAATAAATATAAATTAATTTTCAATCGCTCATATTTTAACAGAAAATTTTGCTTTTAAAGTAACAAAAATTGATTTATTTAATTATTGCTGAAGACAATTAATTTTGTTAAGTGATAAAAAAATAAGTAATAAAATAATTATAACACTTAAAATTGTTATATTTATTTTATGAATTATTTTATTGATTAATTAATAGTTAATATAAAATAAATAACATAGTTTATTGTTGTTAAGAAATTGACATATTGCATACGGTATCCCGAATTTCCGTATAGTAAGATATTGATATACTGAAATATTTGAAAAATTCTAGCTCAACATTTATATAATTTTTCAAAATTTATTTTAATATCTTTTTTATTTAAAAAAATTAAAAATTGTTTTTTTTTTTTTTTATGGAAAATACAAAACGCTCACTTTTCGATTGGAAGGCGACATGATATTTGACGATCCTATTGATACACTATCACATTGGGTCGTTGGTGCGTGCAAAATTTTTTGCAACCTTACAACCTGTTGTATTTATGTTAATGTTAGAGAGATAGTTATTTAGGGAGAGATAGATAGAGAGAGAGAGAGAAGAGTAAAAATGACATATTCATATTAAATTTTCTTTTTTAAAAAAAATTTTCATTTCAAGACTCATAAATGTTTTTTTATGATTGTGCTTTTTATATCAATCTCGTTTTTTTTTTGAAAATAATTAATTTTTAATAACTGCCATTTTTTAATTTAATTGACAATTTTTTTTTGTATACATACAAATTCCAAATATTTATCAAAAAAAAAAGATAAATTAAATAAAGTAAAAAATAAAATCTATTTTAGTTACAACATAATATGTACTTTGTTTTTTTGGTAAAAGCTTTAGCTATAATTGACATTGACATTTTTTGTATGCAATAATTTTAAATTACTTAAAATTAAATTCTTGAATCAACTTTGAAACCAATTCATCAGTTATAGGTAAAGCTTATGTGTTCTTTTTACAATTGAATTTTGTTTTTATTCATTGCTACGGAACGTTCGCGACGAACCCAAGTTATATTAATTACGCAAAGGTTTTATGTAATTTTATGATCGTCACTTCGACAATACCAGTGAGTTTTAATCATAATTAAGTTTTAATAACAATAAAAATCTCCTACTTTATTTCTTAAATTTCTGAATTGTTTTTTGCCATACAAGGACTAAAAAGTAATATTTACCAATTTTACAAAACATTTTTTTGATATTTTCTTATTTATCGTTGAATTCAAGATTACCGTTCCTCAAATATTTTGCTTAAAAGCAAAATTCAATTGTAATTTTTGCGTACATTCTAATTTCTTTTGGTTTTCTTTTTCCAAAATTACATTTAACATTTAATAATTAACAATATTGTTTTTTGATATTATTTACAAAATAAATATTTAAGTTTGGAAAATTATTTTAAGTTTTTCGTAATCAATTCATTTCTAAAATTTAGAAACGTGTGATAAAATTTGCCAAGAGTGAAACTGAATTGAAGTTAATCAATTTTTTTCAGGTTTAATCATTGATATTGTATAGAATTTGTTGAGAACTTAATAAAAAAGCTGAAAATTTTTGGCATATGAAATAATTTTGAAGGAAGGCAAATATACAGTATATCCTGGGGTTGATAATTAAGGAAAAATAATTTTATAATTGATTTTATAGTAGTTATAGGAATAACATAAATGTTCTATAAATAAAGAACACTAGATGTCGGTATAATGTTTTAAAATATGAAGAGAATTTTTCGAGAAAATTTGTTTAAAACAATTGTAAAGAGAGTAAAATTTCTTTGAATGATAGATAAGCAAATTTTGCTAAGCCTATTTTAAAATGTAATTTTCGCATATTATTATAAATGGCATGTTTCAGTCTTTACCTTGTTTTATATAATGTTGCTTTCTCAAATAAAATAATGTCACAGGCAAATTGAAAAAAGTCTGCTTTGTCATATTTCGGCAATTGATTTATTATAAATTGATTACCTGCACTCGCTTGCGTTGTTTTATAGGGATAAAACGAGTATTAAGGGTTTTGGTCTCTTATTCCGATCGTTAACAAAGGGAAAATTTTCCAAACTTATACTGTTTCTTTTTGTTTAATTTTCCATCAACATATGGTTACTTACCAAACAAATAATCTAATTATTATGCACATAAGACTATGATTTTTTTGCTATATGTCAAATTTTGTTATTTTCTATTGTTTTTTTTTCAAATTTTGTTATCAAATAAAATAAATTATCTAGTTACAAAATTAATCTCTAAAATATTAAAAAAATTTTTTTTTATATTGTAATTTTCTATGTTTTTGTTGCTTTTTTCAATTGAAAAACAAGCTTTTTCTTTTTTTTTGATTTTGAAACATTCTTTCTCTATAAAATAATAATTCTATATTTTTTAACAACACTATCAATTAAAAATCTATCAAAATGCTCATAATATATATGGGGGGAAAACTTACCGCATCCTGGAAAATTAAAAGAAAAAAAAAATCAAAATGTAAAATAGGAAAATTACATAAAAATAAAATTCTATGAATAAATAATTGGGATTTTATTTTTTGGAAATTAATTTTCTAAATAATATTTTTAACACTTAACAAGGATTTTTAATTATATATATATACAAATATTTGTATATATAAATAAAAAATAAAAGGATTTTCGGCTTTTTTTAAATTCTATAGGGTAGCGAGCAGTAACATGCATATAAAGCTAATATTTTTTTTTTTAATATTTTTATGTGACAATTGCTAACAAAGTTCTGCGTTTTCAAACATAAATATTTTTTTATATTTTTTTTTCTTTAAGAACTTAAAACCTATTTTATTTCTTTATTTATTGGTGTTTGTATTTAAAGTAAGGATTAATTCTATGTATATATTTTAGTGTGGATATATTGTGGATGAGTGTGTATTAGTTTTATTTATCGCAATTAATAAAGACTCCGTTTTGCATTCAAATTATATTATGAATGATTCTTTCTATCAAATGTTACTGACTATCCCTTTCTATTAAATTAACCCAATTTATTAAAATTAAATCAATAGGTTTTCGTCTACAAAATATGATATTTCGTACGAGAACATAAATTCATCCAGAAGTGTGGAAGAAACGTGACAGTATAACAGATACATTATGGTCTAATAATCAAGAAAAATGTACAGAAAATGCCCATAGCACAGAATAATAGAAAAAAATTTATTTCATTCAAAATTGCAAAAATTCAATGGAATTTTAATTTGAGGTTAATTAACGTAATATTGCTTTATATTTGAATACGAAAAGCTATAAATGTTATATTATTGTGACATTGAATCGCAAGAAATTTTCAAATGCAAAACGGATTTGAAATTTAACCAAAAAGAAAAAAGAAAATAAAATAAAATGTATTTTAAAATAACTTATATAATAACATACCTTTCTTGATCCTTTGTCTCCAGTAGCTGCTGTACCACTAGCACTACCAGCTGATGATGGATATGAACCGGTAGCCATATTAGAAAATGGTACAGGCTCTGAAAATTTTATTGTATGTAATAATTGCATCACAACATTTGAGACATTCCGGAATGATAATTTTCTACGGCTACCCAAAGCTGAACGTACTCCAAGTGTATTCAGCATAAGTGGCTAATAACGATATAAAATATAAATAATATTCATATATATATTTTGATAAGCATGTTCATATATATATTTTTACCTTTCTGCGGTGGGGAGGAGGAACAATAAAATAAGTATCAACACCATGATCTCTTAAGTACGATGATCTTTGGTCACCATGGCCCGCTTCAACTTCATATTCACCTGATAATGAATCTAATGTGGCACGTGTAACATGAACACGTCCTGGTTCACCACCAGATTCCATATGATTAGCTAATGTAACATCATTTGACCATACATCGAATTGCCATTTACGAAGACCTAAAACACCACATAAAACACGTCCAGTATGTATACCAACACGCATATTAAGTATTACATCGGTTGCTTCAACAACAGTACTATTTATGAATAAAAGAATGAAAAAAGTGTAAATATAAAAGAATAAATAAATCTTACACATAGAATAATTGTTATCAAAAATTTTTACAAACAAATTATCGAACATACGAGTATTTTAAGAAATTGTTAGCACTTATAACTTTAATGACCATTGCAATCTTTCAATCATACATTATTTTTATTTACTGCACTACACAATACAGTGGAATCTTTATATACTCGTATAAAGTCTTCAAAAGTGAAATCTCTAAATTCGAGTTTTCAGAAGGAAAGAAACTCCTGCCAAAAAATTTTTTTGTTAAATAGATATGATAGAGTTTCGTTATATAGAGATTTCACTGTGTACATGTTATTATTGACAAGACCTAGAATGTATTATTTACATATAAAATCAAATGGTTAAATTGTGTGAATTCAGTTTGAATTTTCGAAAAAAGTTTTTAAAATTTAAATTGTCCCAATTCAAAATTTACAGCCCTACATTATTTTTTTCATTTCATTATTGTTTTTTTTCTAATTTTGATAAAGAATAAAACCTAAATTATTTTTCAAAATTCATTTAAGAATTTTTTTTTATTTCAATCAATGTCTTTTTGAGATTTTGTAGTAGTATAACTAACAAACGAAGTGGAGGGTTCCACCGTTCGTTAAAAAAAATTAAAAAAAAAATTGAGAAGCACTTTGAGATCCCATAAAAATGAGCGTTAACCGTGCCAGGACGCTTAAAGTTGTTTTAAAATAGAATTGCAAACTGAAAGCGCACATAAGAAAGCTGCTGCATTTATAGTATTAAACTCTATAAGATTTGTAAAATAGTTGTTTATTGAGGCCCAATATCAATAATATATGGTTCCATGGACATTTCAAATTGAAATCAATATGCTGCGATTAAGAAAACACATTGTAACTAAATAATTGACTAAATAAATGTGATTTAGAAAGAAAGTAAATTTTAATTTAAAATATAGAGGGATTAGTTTAAAAGAAGTGCAAGATAAAATTTAATTATAAACTTGTGAACTGATATTTTTAAGGTTGTCTAGTTAATAATGATGATTTCTATTACTTTTTACTTGCTATTGTTAAAAATTTTTTTAATAATATTTGATTGAACATTCTGAGAAAAATCAAATGCAACACAAATACATACACATATATTTAATAACTTGTGTACTTGATTTGTTTTCAAAATTTAGAACGTCTTAACACGTACTATGGTTAGAATGACAACATAAAAAACGAAGTTTGCGTTATTCATTTCGATTGAATTTAAGATGGGGGAAAAATTTAAAACTATCCTACCTTGGTGAAGATGTGGAACAATTTTCAATATCACAAACTGTATTTTCTCGATTTTGATTTAAAAAATTTCCCATTCTCTTTTTCATTTCACTAAGTTTTTGGAAGAATCATTCAAAAAGCAACAGAATAAAAGATGAAGATTGGAATAAAATATTCTTTTTAAAGCATAAAATTAAAATCGTTGTTATGTGAGATGAAAACAGAATATCTCTTTTGCATAGAATTAAAGTTTCTACGGATATACTGAATATCCTTTTAAACGATTAATTCCGTTTGAAAGTATGAATAAAGTTTTTACAATATAGCAAAGAAAAAACAAAATTATTTTCGTTTTTTTTGACAATTTTTCGGCTATTTCGAGCACGTATTCTCAAAATGGAGTTTGAAATGTTCATGATGTTTTTAACATTAGAATTTTTTCACAATTTTTTATAATAAAAAGCCCATGTTATATAGAATATTGTTTTTTTTTTAATTTTTCACTTCTCTATAGAATAAATGAGCTCTTTCTGAATTGAATAATTTCATAGTGTTCTCTATGAATAAAATAATATAATTATATTTGAATTATATAAAAATTTCAGTGTATAATGGTATGAAAATTTTGTTAAATTATACTTACGCTATTGCATCGATCATATCTAAACCCATTTCAACAGCACATTTTGCATGATCTTTTCTAGGTTCCGGAAGTCCTGACACACAATAATAACAATCTCCCAATATTTTTATTCTTAAGCAATGATTATCCTATAGAAATTTTAAATTAATATTTTTGTTTTGATTTTAAAATATTTAAAGTAATATCGAAATGAGCATAAGCTCGTTAAATAATAATCCCAACACAATAGTTCTTGTAATTAATCGAAAAATTTAAGTATTGACATTTAGATTTTTAAATACAGATGTCATTTTGTTTTGATTTTAATTTTTTTTCTTTTAATTCAAAATCAGTGTTGAAATTCTCAGAGCGCAATCAGAATTTTCGACTGCATAATTAATAAAATTTAAAATATAATTTGACAAGATGTCAAAAAAAAATATTTTTTTTATACCCGTACGAACATATGTTCGAAGGGTATACTAAATTTGCCTTACCGTTTGTAACGCTAAGAAATAACGGTGTTAGATATAGACTCAAGTGTATGTTTTTGATCAGCGTCAAATTCTGAGTTGATTTAGCTTTGTCTGTCCGTCCGTCCGTCCGTCCGTCCGTCCGTCCGTCCGTCCGTCCGTCCGTCCGTCCGTCCGTCCGTCCGAACGATAACTCAAAAACTAATTGAGCTTAGTTCACCAAATTTTCACAAATGATTTATTGTAGTAAGTGCCAGAACCCTATTTAAATTGGACATGATCGGGGTACCGGTTCGGGTAGCTGCCATACAACTTCAAAATTTATTTGGCTATATCTCAGAAACTATAAAAGTTATGGTATTGAAATTTCACACAAACGAATATATTAGTAGGGCCAATGTGTCAGATAAAAGTCGTTGAAATTACTTGGCTCCTTCTGGTACCTGCCATACAACTTCAAAAGTTATTTGGCTATATCTCAGAAACTATAAAAGCTGTGATACTGAGATTTCACAGAGTAAATATATTAGCAGGGCCGATGTGTCTCGTAAAAGTCGTTGAAAATACTTGGCTCCTTCTGGTACCTGCCATACAACTTCAAAAGTTATTTGGCTATATCTCAGAAACTATAAAAGCTGTGATATTGAGATTTCACACAAGTAAATATATTAGTAGGGCCGATGTGTCTCGTAAAAGTCGTTGAAATTACTTGGCTCCTTCTGGTACCTGCCATACAACTTCAAAAGTTATTTGGCTATATCTCAGAAACTATAAAAGCTGTGATATTGAGATTTCACACAAGTGAATATATTAGTAGGGCCGATATGCTTGATAAAATTCGCCAAAATTTCTTGGCTCTTTCTGGTAGGTGCCATACAACATCAATAGTAGTTTGGCACAACCAGTATTTTGAATAACACATAGTACTGAAATTTTGCATAAATTAATATGGTAATACGGCAACTTAAAGTCATAGTCTGCCCCATAGTTAGTTATGGAACATTAGTTATTCGCACATAGGATAACAAATTCGTACGGGTATCACAGAGTTGACAAGGTCAACTCTATTTTTTTTCTCGTTTTACTTAAAAATACTTAAATAGGTAATAAAAAATTTATAAAGTTTGAATTTAACTATTGAACAACATATTCTTAATTTTACATTGAAAACCAAGTTATTTAGGAAAGATTAATTTCATATTTTACAACGACAGTTTAAAGCGTTCAAATTCTTTTTTAATATTTTTGACAAATTTTAATTTAAAATTGTGAATTATTATTTTTGTCATATTTATTTAATTTGAAATAACTCATTTTATATTATTTAAATATTTTATGTACATATATTTTTATATATACATATATATATATATATACTTACATGTGCTAATTGATCAAATCTTCCAAATAATTCATTTAACAGTCTTACTAGTTCCTGTGCACTACACTGTGATGCTAACACAGTAAAGCCTACAATATCAGCAAATAAAATACTAACATTTTCATGCTTTTGTATATATATCCTATGAAATTGACCAGCAACTGGTGATAAAATATCATTTTTCATTTGCATTGCAACATGCTGAGGTAGTACGGACAATAAAAGTCTTTCCAATTTTTCATTTTCATCTTGAATTTCTAAACGAGATGCAATACAATTTCTTGTATCTAAAAATGCACGACGTTGTGCACGTTCCATCATAATATTAACAACAACACCAGCAACATTAACACCAATAAACATAACAATATTAGCAATCAACTATTAAAAAAAAAGTAAAAGAAAAAAAAATTAAAATTAGATTTGAAAAGAATTCTTTGTTAAAAAAATTTAAATTATTAATATAAAATTGTATGTAGAATAAAATAAACATATAGCTTGCAAGCTATGTACCATAAATTCCAAGTGGGTGAAAAATTTTTGACTGAAAAACAAGAAATTTTTTGACTGAAAAACAACGAAAATTTATAGAACACTAATGCAGTTTTAGATGCCAAATTTAAATTCAATACCGTACATAAACTACTTTTGAAACACTTAGGAGCGTCTGTTTAGAAAATTTTACTTAGAACTTCAATGAAAAAGTTTTGGCTGAATTTTCTGAAATACGCGGGATATTGAGTACTCTCAAATCGTATAGATTAATCAATAATTTTTAGACCTTTACCTAAAATGTGTTATCATTCATAAGTTCTAGTTGTTATACTATATTTACAGAAAATTTAAAAATGTTAGTTAAAAGTATTAAAAATTAAAAATTTAGAAATCACTATCATTGCCCAAAAGTATGCAATTTTTTTTTTTTTTTTGCAAAATATTTCTTAAATAATCTTTGTATACAAGTGGCAATTTTATTATGTAGATAAGTGGAATGTGTTGATCTATAACTATGTTTTATTACATACACATTGTTATAACAGTATTAATTAATAAGTAATAGAAATTTTTCTGGTAACTGCTGAACATGTCATGATTTAAGGAAATTTTATACAAAATAGAACTAGAAACATTAATTTTAATTTGAAAATTTTTACTAAGTAATAAGAATATTAATAATGAATTATAATTAATTAAAATTAAATTTAATCAGATCTTAAGTAGTAATAATATGAGAATTTTGAACAAATGTAGAGATTTTTAAAATATTTTCCTCTATAATATTTTTTTTATAGTTTTGAACAAGCCATCAGATATTAATTTATTCATGGCTGTAAATTAATAAGTGGATTATGAGGTTTTTTATCTACATTTTTAATTTATTTAGCAATAATTGTTTTAAAATAAAGTAATTTTTCTCTACAAAATTAAAATTTTTAATTAATTAACAGAAATTTCGAATTTTAATTTTTTATATTAGTATTTTTTTTTTTTGATTCAACAATGATTTACAATTTTAAATTTTCAAAAATTATGGAAAAATTAAACTTTGTTTTTAACTACATTTTAATAAATTTGGCTGAAATTAATGTTTTTGAAATTATATATTGCCTTTGAAAATTTTGTTTTTAATAAGTAATCTTTTACTTTTGCTTAAAAATTTTTTTAGGATGAAAACAAAAATTCAAAGAAACATTATCAAAATGGTCGGACTCAATGGTAAATAAGGTGAATTAAAGTAATTTATATAATAAATTATGAAATTGCAACTGTTTTTATGAAATTGCAGCTGTCAAACTTAAAGGGTTTAAGAGTTTTATAAATACAGGCATTGATGTCACACATGCCTGTCATGCAAATAATTTTCACAGTAATGTTAAAGCAATCTTAATTACGATATTTTTAATAAGTGCTCATTACTGAAGTGCTCATTAAAAGTGAATACATGTACGTACGACGTATAAAATGTAGATATGTATAAACTTTCAAAAATTAGATTATGGCATTTCAAGCTATCGTAAAGGTTTGAAATAGTTAAAAAATTTCATGAGAAGGAAAGTAAAAAATTTTTAGAAGTGGAAAGTAAAATGCAACACTTCCTTTTATTCATTCATGGACTTTGAGAAATTTTAGAATTTTTAGCACAATTCAGAAGTTTAGAATAATTGATACGAGTATATGTTTGTACATCAATATTCGAAATCTTATGTACTCTTAAGGAATTTCAAATTATTAAGATGTTCACGATCAGAAACACAAAAGCTTACAGTTGATTAAGATAAAATTCAGTAAAGGAAAATGAATTACTAATTGCTTTCACGTTATTCGACGAATTGATTTTTGTACAATTTCATCTAGCCTCAATCATTATAATGCAGGTAATATGAGAAGCAGACCAGTAACTTTTGTAGTGAAATAAAATTGGAAACAGTAGATTTTATCAAAACTATTAATGGTAAAAATATAAGAGTTCTGATAAATTTTTTTTTGGTTTTTTAAACTATGTTGTTTATTTTACCAAAATCTTTAAAATTCTTGTTAAAAGAGTTTCTTTTTTTCATTTTCGACTAATAACAATACAAAATACTTTGTGTTCTTTTGTTATGTTTCAACATTTTTTAATTTAAACTCATAAAAATTTCAATGAATAATTTTAGAATATAATTTGAATAAATTTTATTTTCTGCTTATTTTGTGCACTGTTCTATATGGCATACAATTATCAGGGAAGGCATACGCTAAAATTGAACAGAAATAACTTCGCCATAATTTTTCGCTTTTAGCGTAAAAAAAAAAATGAAATCAAACTCAAAATTCAAAACGTCAGCAATTTTTCATATTTTTCATTTTTGTTTTTATTTTTTCTCTTTTTGTTAATGTAAAATTTTAACAAGAGTGTATAAGTATCCTTGCAGTAAATTATACCATTATGAGAATTTATTATAAGAAGAATATTTTATGCAAAAAGGATTCTTATCAATGTTATACGAAAAAAAAGGTATATTTGTGTATTTTAAAATATTATGTAAAGTATAATGTTAAAATTTTCAAACGAGATTTTATTAAAAAATAGAACAATTTCAATCATTCTGCACTTGTGAATCAATGATCAATTAAATTTTAAAGTATTCTTTAGAATATTTAAATTATTCAATATTTTTGAGAGCTACTATTTTAAAACGCAATGGCTAGAAACGTCATTGAAGTCGGGTAAAAAATTAGGTGTAATTATTGAATAAATTTGGACATTCTTTCTTAGGTTAGTATATTTTGTATATTCAAGCTCGATTGTACTTACAATCATAAATTTAATTTTATAGGAATAAAATTAAAAAAAAACTTGAAAAAATGAATGTTTAATGTTTCATAAAGTAAAGCCTTTTCTCTTTTCCTATTTCTCCAGCAATAAGTATGCATTGAGAGATTTCAGTTAGCGGATTCTGAGTTACAAATATTCTTCTTAAAAATACCATGACATCGAAAATGAATTTTTTACATCGCGAATAAAATGTCGCATGATCAAAGATATTAAGAAAAAAGAATTGCTTTGTGCTGCGGCCAGAATTCATTCTATAGTGAATTGTTGACCAATTTTCAATTCGATTATTCAAACATTTTTTGACACCTTAGGTATCTTGTATGAAATCAATGCCGTCAGCATGAGAGCCACATAGATTAGAGGCATTATGCCTAACATGATTATATTATTGACACAACGTCAAAAATTAAAAAAGAGTTTACACTGTGTTATTTACGCATTGTGTCCAGCTTGAAAAATTTTGCGATGTCACTGGGTTCAGATTCATACTTAGAATCATAGGAGTCAAGTTCATACTTAGAATATGTAGCGCTTCAGTTCTTAGATAAAATCTAATAAATAAGTTTGAATAAAATTCTTATATTTATATTTTAAAGAATTTGAAAATTTTAATTTAACTTTCAAACTTTTTAATCAGTTCTCGTAAGGACTTTGGAATATAAGAAAACAATTTTTTTCCTTGTTCGTAAATATTTTTCAAATAGAATGATTTTGTGGGTATTTTAGTCAAAATTTATGTATTTATTATGTGTATAAATTGGTACAAAAAGGAAACAAAATGCCAAAGTTCAATTGTTGGAAAATTTCTAAGAATAAAAATTAAAGATAACAACATTGTATTCTTGAAATGCCTATAGCTGTGTACGAATGGTATATGTTCTAATAAAAAATTCATTTATATTCATTTGAAATATTGAAAAGAAATGAAATAAATTTGTGATCATTATTTAAGGAAACATTTAAAAATTTTTTAAATAATTAAAAATTTTCATTAAGCAAAAAGAAGCCTCTGAAAATTTTTCATATGTTACGCCTTTTGCAATTGAATCTCTTCAATTAATTATTGAAACAAACGATTTCATTGGATAATGATTTTTTTAAATTTAAAAGCGTGGAGGTATTCATTTTAAAGTTCGGCTCCATTGGATGTTGTTCAGGTTTTTATAATTAATTTATACCTAAGTAATTTGACGATAAATTTTTACATTTTTGCTGTTATGTGATTAAATTTGATTCTGTTTGCCTTAAATAAAAGAAATTATTTGTATTAGGACTGACTTGTTACGAGAACTTGTACAAGTATGTTTTCAGTTAATTTTCATAACAGCAGAGTGCGTGATTTCAAATTAAGGTTTGTTTTTTAAAATATTTTATTTTTAAAAAGGCTTGTTTGCTTAAGAATTAGGTTTGCGTAAAGTTAACTGTTATATCACATATGAATTATAAATGCAGTTGAATAAAAAATCTGAACAGTTCAATCAGAACAGTGTAACCTAATAACGAATGATTTAGGAGAAATATATAAGAATTTTTCTTAAATCATTAAATATCATTGAGTACCCTAAATTCGATTTGTTTAAAATTAAACTAAGTTTTACAAAAATTATAAAAAGCATTTGATTTCATTTATTTAATAAGCTACATTGTTGCAAATAAAATTAATATTTTTTTCTCCAGATTAATTGCAAGGAAATATGCAATTTTAATAATTAAGAGACATTGAAAAAATAAATTATAATGACATTCAATAATGTCATACACCAGAAATAAACCAGAAATTTACAGAAATGAAGAACAAAATCTGTATAACACTACTTAAAAATGATTTAGTAAATGAAGTAATTTTCATCTAACCTCAAACTTTTCGAAAGTTTTCATAATTGAAAGTACGAGAAATTGTTAGTAGTTACAATATCTTAAAATATAGGTACCCTTTATTTTAAAATTCACATCTTACTAAATTTATACAGTGTAATTTTTCTAAAGTGTAAAATGATGCTTACACATTTCTCTTTATAACTTTTTATTGTTCAAAAGAAACTGCAAATTTTTATAAAATATTTGATTTTCTTAAATATGTGCGGATTCAAATCTGTATAAGTTTTATAGCATTCATATATTAATTATTATACCCACAGATATTCACATACGAGTACTTGGGTGTTTTATTACACAAAATTCAAAATTTATTTCATTATCATTGACAACAATAAAATAAAATAGAAAAACATAATGTTGTAGAATGACTCTTTTCTATTTATATACTTTTATTTTATTGTCATTATAACAATGCACACAGTTAAATTAAAAATCGATTGTCGATTCGATAAATTCTAATAATGGCAACATAATGTTAAAATTAAATTTCTATAAATAGAATATTAAAAAGTCGAAAAACTATTAAAAAAAAAAGAAAAAGTCAAATAATTAAATGAAAATAATCTGTTAAGATGTTGCATATGTAAATTAAAATCCTTGAACTTGAAAATTTGTATTATATGTGTGTCTTAAATTGTTACCTAATAAAGATGAAGAAATACCGCGTTGACATTACGTACAAGTCCCTTGAGCATTTTAATATCTCACCTTTTAAATCATCGTAATTATTCCCCTGACAATTTCTTAATTTTTATTATCGTTAATGAATAGAAAATTAAAAAAAAAAAGCAGAAGGTGAATACAAAATCTGCTAATTCAAAAAAAGAAATATATATGTACATATACCTAGGTAATCATAGCTTGGTATTCTACATATGTACATATGTGGGTATAATTCATTTGAGAAGAAAACTGCGCTATAATATTCACCTAATTTTAAAGATGTCTGGCTGCACCGATCTACATAACAAAATTAGTTTGAGTGAGAGAGAATTACTCTAAAGGGTATGAAAAATAAATAAAAAATTTTGAGTTAAATACATTATTTAAGTTAAAATTGTTTGATTTCAAGAAAATGTTCGTTTTAGAGAATTTATATTTGCTAATTTCGCGTTATAGAGACAGTTGCCATCAAAATAATGTGAAAATTATTCCTGCTGAGAAGAATTATGTATTATAAGGTTTTGACTGTGTATAAATTCAATCTCTTGAAGCATAAATCTCTTAAAATCGAAGAGTAAATGTACATACATTGTTTCTGCGTACATTTTCTTTGTATATAAAATTTTTATCCTTATATAACATAATATCAAACGTTTGAACTCAATGAATCAAATCCAGTATATGCTTTTGTAGCTCAAGATATATTTATCGCATGATACACATACATATAATATGTACTGTTACATATACACTGTGGTTGCAGTCATACATATAAAAATACCATTTAAATACTGCCATGTCGTTAATGTCAGGAAAATTTATATTATAGGTTTTTATGTTTCACATGAATGTTATTCGTATGATGTTGTTAATGACATATGAAAATATATGAATGGGAGTTTCCATAGTAATTTATCTTATGTATAAAAGTATACAATTATTGATTTTATAGAAAGTTTTATTGTATACAGATGTGTGTATTTAAAAAAAATAAATGTTATGTTCGGTATACTTATGTGTATTTTTAGAATAATTGAGGAAAAAGTTAAGGTTTCCGGGATTTTAACGAATTATATCATGAAATCATTTAATATTTCATATATGAAAGTAACTATTTTTATACTTTAATTTAAATATATTTCCAAAATCAATCAATGAAACGGGAAATAAAATTTCAGAGCGAACAGTATAAAGCTCAAGTTCTAATGTATAATAATTTTGAAAATAAAGACTTTGTTCTAGTTCTGATAATAAAGGAATGTCTTTCTTTTGCATTATGCTATTCAAATACTCTAATAAAAGGCAGCACATTTCCCGGTCGGTGTTTTATTGAAATGGCAAAAGTGACGAAAAGCATATACGATTAAAAATGAAATTCTGCTCAAAATACTCAATCCAGTATTTTTTTCGCTTGAAAGTATATCAGTGTCATGCAATTTATTAATATCAATCTACATATTAAATGAAATGTTACTTGTTCAATACAAAATTAGGAAATAAATAATGGTGAATTTTGAGCGCGAATATCAAAATTATCAAAATTATTTTTCCATTTTTTCTTAGGAATAACCCACGTTTCACTTCATGGAAATTTGAAATATGGTTTCAAGTGCAATACGATGTAATATGCATTCCATGTATTAAATGTGATTTAAAAAAAAAAAGAAGAAATTTGCCGGTATAAAATGGAAAACGATTGAACACATTCGTGGTGCACAATTGCGTATATGTGTGTATGTAAATATATATTGGTTATTTCATTCATTGACACGACGCAAATAAATGTTATTAAAAATTTCGGATCATCACTAATTGAATACTTGGATCTGTTTCAAAGAAATAAGAAAAATTAAATCGATTTTTTTTTCAGTAATTTTCTCTCTTCTTACATAATTATATTTTGTTTTTGTATAAATATTGTTAAAGAAAAATAAAATTTAAATTGAAACACATTGTAAACATTTTTATTGACATTTCAATTCACTTCAATCAATAAGAGTGCAGATTTATAAAATTGATTTTTTGCATCAAAATCAATTATATTTCGTTTGCATTTTGTCGATATACTTTTATAAATATTCTCGGAAACCGGGAATATTAGTGTAATTATTGGGATAATATTAACCCCTAATTACCTCAGCTGTGCCCAGTATTACGGTACGTGGTAACTTTATATTGTTTATCTCATGTTTAAACGAATTTTTGTAATTTTAATGTTTTTCTAACTGATTTCCTCTAAAAGGCCCATCGTCTAGAGAAATCCAAAAATTTACTTTGACATTTTATTGGCGCATATACAAAATGATAAACATATTCTTTTACTTACCTGATTGTATTCTAGATATTGAAATGTATCCGTGAAAATTTTATATGCAGTTAAACCAACATGCACCGAAGGTAATATAATACCAAAACACACAGCCTCCCATATTTGAAGTGGCATCATTGCATACGCTAAGAATACTACAAAAACTATTTGCCATACACCTTCAGCCATAACCTGTAAAAGTGTATAAAAGAATTGTATAATAGAAAACAATTTTAAATATCAAAATATGCAAATATAAAAAAGGGTTACAACATCATTTTGGAATGCTAATAAATAAAAATAAGATACCGCTAATTTTAATGCAGGTTACCTTGCAATTTCTTTTCATTCTGACATTAAGTATGTGCATTAAGTATATACATAATGTCAATCTGATAGACGTATATTGTCATGATAGCAAATTCAGTTTGCTTGATAGTTGATTCTTGGACTTTGCAATTGGTCTGATATTAAAATAATATTAAGGTAATTATTTTGGAAATGGCGAATTCAAAATTAAGCCGATGAATGACGGTTGTGCGTGAGACCCTTTAGGGTAATTGTTTAAAATAGAATTTTTTCACTGAACTATATAAAAGTAGGTTTTTGTTCAACTTTAATAGCAAATTTGAATTAAGCAGCAGAAAATATGAGAAACATGTGGAAAAATCGTTAAACAAGAAGTTAGTCCTCAATAATATTTTTCAGAAATATCTAAACAAAGACAAAGTAAATTCTTTCATTATTAAGTTGAAATTCTTGTAAATATTCCTTTATGAAAATTTTTTATAAATTTTCTCAGTTAAAATTGTCTACTCGATTTTCAACTTCAGTGTTTTATTATTGCTTGGAAAACACAGACTTTTTCACTAGTTTGTTGTCAACAATCAGATAAATTAGTTTTTTTTTTCAAATATTTGACTAAATATTTTTTGAATTCTTCTCATTTTTCAAAAGAAAATTGTAAACATCTGATCTGAACTTGTTATGAAATTAGATTTAGTTTTGGAAACATAAACTCCAAACTGGTTATCAAAAACAGACTTGATTACCTTCCATCCTAACACGGTCATTTTGTAAATTTTCGCCTGATGGTTCGTTTTGTTTTAAATATTTGCTCTCATTTGACTCTTATGAAAATTCTAAGTCTATTTATCTAAATTCGTTTTTATTTATTTTACAGTGTTTATAAAATTTTTACAAAATTTATATGACAAGAATGTGAATAAAAGAGGTAACCCTGGAATTATGTTAATGCAATGCTTGTGTGGACAATCATAATAGCATATTTGCGAAGAAATTAAACTTGACACACAAATCACACTTAAAAGGTAAGATAAAGAAAATTATATTATAATTCAAGTTTCTAAAATGCGATAAAACGAAAAAAACTACGGTCTTAATTCTCAATAAATTTATTCTAATCAAATCTGATTTTCCTTTCGATTAACGACTTTCATCAAATTTATAAAAAGTTACAATGGCACCATGACCACATTTTATCAAATTTTTTCTTCACTTCTTTTACTATTTATTGACGTATGCCAATATTTAATTAAGTATATTCAAAATTAATTTTCAAAAATTAATTAATGTACCAGAAAGAAATTAAGTTAAAAATAAATATTTGAATTTAATCGAAGTGAACATTTTTTTAAAAATTGAAAACTGGCAAAGAATTTTTAAAAAAAAATCAAATTATGCCGAAATTTTTTTTTATTTTTTAGACTCCGATTCATTTGAGTCCCTATTTTTCGTTTTAACTAAAAGAGAAACTCTTCTGATAAATTCCATTCTTATACATCAAAATCGAATCTATACGTTAAAGGACACCAAATTTTATTGGCTCCCAATTAATAATAAAGAAAAAAAAAAAATAAAAGGGAAGAAAATATAATAGAATAATCTGTAATTCTATTTCAGGAATAATCAAAAGGACTCCTTTTTCTTATTTTATATTTTATCAAAAAAAAAAAAAGGACATGCTAATTTGATTGAAAAAGAAAGTTATGTATAGAAAATTTTATAACAGATCCTTTAGCATTTAGCATATAAATTTTCTTTTTATCTTATTATACAAAGTAATAAAAAAAATTAATTTATTTTTTTTTCTCTTTAAAAGATTCTTTTTCTGTTTTTTTTTTTCTCACAAATTTCGGTATAAATGCCCTTTTAATATTCTTGTTTTTTTTTTTATCATAAGACAGACTGTCGTTAAAATGTCTACAATAGCAGCATAGGCATGTGAATTAAATTTTCAATGGTATTATTGTGAATATATGATTTTTAAAAATGTTTTGATAATTCAAATGTCAATGTCATTTTCCCGCATGCGACTATTAGTTTTGGAATGAATGAAAAAAAGTTAAATAATGCGATTAATATTTTAGCAATATTAAATGTCCTAGAATTCAGAAATTAACATTTTAAGCATCGTTAATTTTTAATTCGCAAAAATAAAAAAAAATGTCATTATTAATATTATTTTTCTGCGACGCACATTGTACTTACATATACCCGTAGCTACTTAACAACGAGTGAATATTTCATTACATTAAGTTTCAAGTTCAATAATGTTCTTTGAACTTTTAATAAATATATTGTATGTATGTAATATTCTATTGCCTTTGTTCATTAGCCATGATTTTGTTAAAATATTGAAATTGAAGTAGGGAAAACTGTGGATAATTTTGTTGCAGTTAAAACACCGTCAAGCAATAATTAATGTTTGAAACATTGATTATAATTAATTGTATACGTTCTCAGTTCTTGTTGTTAAGTTCTTGTGAAGTTGATTTTGGATCCATTAAATTTTAAGCAAAGTACATACCTTTAAAATTATAAAGTAAAGTATATTTTATTAGAATAATAGCTTTAAAATTGCACTATCGAGTACATTGCACAAATATCGAGCACCTAACGCCTTTAAGATTTTCTAGATATGAGCTGTTTTTCAATTGAATCAGAGTTAAATAGACTTTGCACGGAACCGACTATAATTATTTTGTGAAAATTTTGTTAGTCTATCTTAATCTATGCGTTTTCAATATCGTTTTTATAGTGAGAGGAACAAAAGCCTATTTATAACAACCATTCGTAGCGTTAGAAACAGTATAAGGCGGTAATTTATAATATCGTTTGAACATTCGTTTTGTGTTTTTAGTATCCATAATAAGGTAATTATGCCTAAAATAGGCATAAAAAATTCTTAGTCAAATTGAATAAATTTTTAATTTGAAATTCTGTAATGATTCCAACTTCGGTGGAAACTTTAAAATCTACATAAAAATCATGTGTATAGTTATTTAATCTTACAAATTAAAAATTAAATTATTCAATCGAAGAGAAAACAAACATCCTAATCTTAATTGCAAATTCAAAATTCGAATGTGATAAAATACTTTATCAATTAAAATTTATTTAGCTGTGCTATCGTATTTCACTGTCAATGTACGTCGCATATTTGACTATATATTTGTGTTACATGCATTGATGCAGCATAAATATTGATTTTGAATTTCTAAAATAATTAAGTTTTGCGGTTAACTGAAAATATTTTTAATTGTGGTTTCTGAATTTCACGAATAAAATATTGGTTTTTCTTATTTCTATACAAGAATTTTTTTAATGTGCATTCTTTAAATTTTAATTTTATTCGTTTTGATTTTAATTAAATGAACATTTTTCGAAATTGAATTACCGCAAATCGAGTTTAAAATAATTTTAAAATTTTATTTTCATTAAAATAATTTTGAATTTGTATTTAAGAAAATTCGATTTCTACTCTGTAAATCATTGATGAAAATAAAATTATTTTTAAATTTTATATTGTTTGTCAACAAATAAAATATTTTTAGAACTATTTTTAAATTATACGAAGGGATGTAAAATCAACAGAGAAATATAAAGAATTCGGTTATTTTAGAGGAAGATCTTGAGAGGAAGATCTGAAATGAGTTTATGTGCTGCTTGATTTCTAAGCTTACATTTAGAATTTCATATAAGCAATTTAATGAGTCTTACAATTATCAATATCGACAATTTAAGATTTAATTATACTTGAATATTTGTTCTCAGTTGACTCTTACTAAAATTCTCAGTCTATTTTTTGATTTCGTTATCTTTAAATGAGTTGGGTTCGATTTTGAATCTACCTAGTCTTTTTGAATTTAAAACTCGACACCGATCCAATTAAAAAGTTCAAGTATTTGGTTAGCCAGATGTTTTTATGCTTCGTAGCTCTCAGAACAAGAGTTAAATGAATATGACAAATCTTTTTCATTTTTCACTTGATTGGATTGTTATTTTATTGCTAAGAAACTCGTCCGTGTTCTATTTTTGCATATAGAACTTAATATTAGCTAATTTTATAAAATTTTTTATTTATATTATTGAACAATTCTTCCTAAAATTTATTTTTTTGCAGCTGATGTAATATGAATTTTAATCCTTAAAATCCTGAAAATTCTGCATTTGCTTAATTAAATTTAGTAAGATCTTACGAAATTGATTTTTTATTGACTTGGTTATAAAACTACTTGGAGTCTTCACCATTCACTTTTGTTTTTCCAGTAGATTTTAACTATACTTGAAATGAGTTTGTTAACTGCCATAAAATTTATTTAAAATTCAAAATCTTCAGATATCAAAAGAGTTTTTCTCTTATACAATTTTATGTATGGACATGGATAAAAATATTTCGCAATATTTTCTTTTTTTAAATCTCCATCACCCACATATCATGTGCGATTTCTGAATTTGTTTTCGAAAATTCTCATAATTAATTTTGATTCGAATAATTTTAAAAATAACAAAAAGAAAAATAAAATATAAGGTTATTGATTTTTTTTTCTATTTTACATTTTTTATATTTTTATGGGTATATTGTTCCATCAAAACTCATAAAAGTGGCGCCACTCTTGTTATGTGCTTGATAAAAAGAAAGAATGAGAAGAAAAAATATAAAATTTTTAAGCGTTACAGTGAAATGGAACAGGAGTGAAAGTGACAGAATCACAAAAAATAAAACTAAAAGATAAAACTAAAGGACAAAGGGTGTAAGTATTTCTTGTTAAAATAAAATATTTACTGTTATATTAATAAAAACTATTAAATAATTTTAAAAAGGGTTTGTTATAAAAAGTACGCTTCTCAAACACCTTACAATCTCAACAGACGTTTAAGCACCAAATAAAACAAGATACACTGAAAAACATGCATATCTAAATTGGTCATAAACCATTTCAAAGGCCATATTTCTGCTTTGTTAATAAAATACTCGTAATATTTTTAGTCAAAATAAAAATAATTTTTATTTTTTTATGACGTAAACTTATTTCAATGCTTCTTATAGTCAAATGCGCTCTAATTATTTCAATTATACGGCTAAAATAGAGCGAAAAGAGATATAATGCATACCAATCTCGTAGATAAACGAATTTTAATGTGTGAATGTTGTGATAGAGGTATGCAAATAGCTTTTTTGGCAATATTTCTTTCCAAATAAAATGTAGCTGAATAAAATACGTTTTGGTGGACGAAAGTTGATGGGCATTCAAATAAAAATATTACCAAATGAGAAAATTTTTCCCAGTGTAGTATGTATTTTATTGAAAAGCGAAAGTCAGAAATTTAGAAGTTGTTGCTGTAGTTAATTTGGAAAATGCAAGCTAGAAGAAAGAGGTACATATACATAGGCACACGTATAAAATATACAACTCCAAAACGAATTTTCTACATTTGTACAATATAGAAAAATGCATCTGTTCTAAGAAAAATGTGATCTACCTCAATATCTGACTTGCTATGTACAATAAAGGTCGAGATATCATTCTCTGATGCGAAATATTTAAGAGGAAACTCTAAGAAACTAAAAATCTGGAAATTTAAACAAAATCAATCTGGAATTTGGATGACTCGGAACAAAAACTTGAAAAATATATAAGAAAAAATCAGACAATACTGATATTGTCTAGGCTTTATGATGGCAAGAATTTTTGACGAGCAAAAAGCGTGTTTTTAGACCAAAACATGAATTTTATTTTTGTGTGCCAGTTACCTATTTTATCAAGGAGAATTTAACTTCAAGAAATTTTAGATTTTAAGCAGGACAAATGAAGATCTTGTTATTGTAACATTGTTATTGCGACAAGTATAAAGAATATTTTTAATTTATTTTTAGAATTAAGTACAAGTTTATGTTCTTTTCAAAAAATTTTGAAATGATGGTTAAACTTACGCTTATTTTAAGGTACTTTACTTAAACTGTCAATAATATCAAATATCAAATCTTTCCTCAGACATTTCACCTCAGAAATTTATAAACTCTCTAAATGTATGTATAAAAAACTTTGTGTGAATGTATGCTTATAAAAATAAATTCTGATCAAACAAGTGGTTTGTATAGTAGTACGTTTCACAATTTTTCTCTTAATATCATAATGTGTCTTCTTATTGCATACCTTTAGGAAATTAACCAGATTTAAATGGAAATTAACGTAAACAGATATACCGTTAATCAAAGAATAAATAAAAATAAAAATTTAGAAATAAAAATTTAAATTGTCGCAAATTGAAATTTTGCTAAATTTTATATAGTAAAGACTAAAGGGAAAGGAAGTAAAAGAGATTTGTTCCGATCCGGTGACAGACGAGTGGATAGAGTGAAGCTAAAAAGCATATTCATTTCCAATTTTATACAAAATGTGCTAAAAAACATGAAAATAATATTGAACGAATTAGCTGGACATGTACCATGATGCTGTAACCATTAACATATCAAAATAACTATTTACTATTAAAATTTATATTGAATATTAACTAACTTACCTCTTTTGTATCCACTGGGAATATGCTGCCAACTGTTGGCATTGAAACAAAACAAATACAAGCGGTAAAAAATAATATACCATAACATAAAAACGGAAGATGATGATCCTTGATGACACGACATTGCAATAAAGCTAATATAATAGCAAATAGGAGGCACATAACGGAATTGAAGACATTCTGTAATAAAAAGAGCAAAATCAATATTTTGTTATGTACGAGTACAATACTTATGTATATGTGCATATTGTAAGAGAAATATAAAAATAAAATTGGGAGAATGAAAATATTGTGAGCCTATGATTATTTAAGGTGTGATAAGAGAAAAAAAAACAACATTAAAGCAAAGAGGAGTAGAACGGGTAAAATAATAGAAATAAAATAAAATGGCAGATAATTTAATTAAAATATTAAAAGGACACGATAAAATTTTATTATTTTTTATTAATTGATCCTGAATTTGACTTTTATTACTCAATTAACTAATAATTCAATTTAAATTAAAAACGTGTACTAGGTTCCAGCAACGAAAGATACATAAAAGGTTTAAAATGTTTTAAAATAAACGTTTGTGTTTTGTTATGAAAATTTTTCGAATGACAAGTGATGTAAATGAAGAGTTCAGAGTTTAATTGTATTGATAATTGAAAATTTTTAGTGACTTTTAATTTAATTATAAATTTTTTCTATTAATTTTATATCAGAGTTTGCCATTAAAAGATTTAAAAAGAATATTAAAATTAAATCAATTCTCCGTATTGGAATATTTTTCATACATTTTTTGATTAATGACGAAATTAGCTATTATTTTTTAAGGATTTTAAAATTTAAGGAAATAGTGAATATATAGAGAGCAAAAAACACAATTTTTAGTTAGCTGACGTAATGGAACAATTATGCATTATAGATTTCACTTAATATTGTTTTAATGAAAATCAATGATAGAGTAAGATACTAAATTATAGAATTGAAATTTGTTTTGACTTTAAATATCATCCATATTGTCTTAGACCAACAATATTGACTTTGTCAGTATAGAATTTCAAAATTCGAAAATGATTTTTTCTGAGAATTAGATACTTTAAATTTTTGAAATTTCGTTAGTTCAAGCTACAGGTCTAAGAGAATGTGCCCGAATAATCAGCTAAAAACAGATATATAAAAAAATGTCGTTTTATTGTGTTTCAAATCAAATTTCATTTCACAGAATGGTTACCGATAAGGCTTTATAGTACAACAAATACCAATAGTCCTTCTACTATATTTAAGAATTATTTTTTGATATTTTGTATGACTATATGCAATAGCAATATAAAAGGGTATTCTGGCTAAGTTTCACATACTAAATAATATTAAATACATAATATAAAATTATATATCATTTACTTACATGCAATGTTGGACTATGATTATAAATAAGACTAAGTGCAGCCATAACGCCACATAAAACGACTACCAGTGCTACAACACCGATTACAGAAAATCTCTGTAATTTTAATGTGTAACGTTGATATAAACATTCTAATTCGTCGTTTTCGAATCGTAATGTATTCCATGGTCGTCCTCTGGTTGCTTTTACGGCATGGTCCATGACAAAAGTGATTTACGTAATTATATGTTGCGCTTTAATTGCCTTTTTTCACTTATAATGTCTGATATTTTTCAAAAAAAAAAAAAAACTTTATAAACGATGATTTTATTTTCCAAATTTTAATTGGTTTTTGATTGTTTTAATTTCAAATATAAATAAAATTGTCATCAGTTTTTGTTGTTTTAAATAATTTTGGAAATACTGATTTCGGCGACATTTATGCTAATTTTATTTTTTCTTTACTAATTTTTTAAAAATTCAAATAATATTTTATTTTTGAGTGTTGAATATCGTTGCGTTTTCTGTAAATAAAAAAAAACAGAGAGAAAAATTAATATTTTTATTAATTTATTAATTTTAAATAAAATTGCATACTTTTAGGATTTTATTTCACACAATGTGCAGTAATTTTAAAGAAAATTTGTAAATTTTATTTACCTAAATTTGGTTAAAATTTTCTTAAAACGAGAGGAAATCTTAAGTTTTTATTCTATAAAATTTTTCTATTAAATTGATATTGTGTTTTAAAATTAAATAAAAGAAAAGTAAAAGAAAAAAAATTCATTTCATTCTTTAAGGCGTTATCTTAAACTTCATCTTTAAAATCATATTAAACGGAAAATTTTCTACAAAAAAAATTAGATATTTTTATAACTGCAAGAAAAAAGAAAATATTCAATAGCTTAAGGCGGAAATTTGAATATTTTAGTGTTTCCGCTATGAAATACATTTTGATGACTGATAATATGTATGAATGTATAATGTATAGTATATATATACATACTCCAATTAAATACGAACTCAATAAATATATTTGATAGTCATCACAAACATGTGCACATTATGTCGGCTGTCCCTTTATTATTAAATTTTCTTTTTCTACTTTTAAATTTATTTACTATTTTTTTACTTTTAAATTTTGTTCCTATACATTACACGTATACATATAAACGAACTATGTGTATGTATATTTTAATACAAAACATATAGAATATAATAAGAAAATGGAGTAAAAATTAATTTTGTATACAAATTAAATCATAAATTAAATTTTAAATTAACAAGCTATTCAATTTGAGTAGCTGGCTAATTTTTAAAAAATTGCATAATTATAGGAGCAATACATTTTAAAATCATGATTATCATATAATTTTTAATTGAATTTTTGCTGAAATACTGTTATGTTTTCAAACCCATTTTCTTTTTATTGCAAAACAAGCATTAATCAGAAACTTAAAGGTCAAACCTATTAAAAATTTCTGCTTAAAAATGCATTTTCCAAAAATCAAGTGTCTAGTGTGTACTATAAAGTTACAACATGTATGTGAGATTGAAGTTCTTGATCTCTCATTCTGTTTGAATTTTCCTCACAAAAACTTTATATTTTTTTCTATATCCTGTTGATTTGTTGTTTTTATGTTTTTCTCTTATATTAAATTTATTTTATCATCTCTTGTCATCTTTGTCTAGTCTTTTTACTTTATGTTGTTATACGAGTACAAATATATTTTTCAGCACTTTTTCAAAAAAAAAATTGGACAAAAAATGCTTGTTAGTTTCACTTTGGTTATCAACCCGCCCGACCACATTTGCGTATGTCTGTTTGCCAAACTACTTCCCCTTTTGAGATAGAAAGTGAAGTTTTTATATACAAATAGAAATTTTTCCTAGAAACTTAATTCTCTTGAAGAATATTTTTACCAATATCGCCTCCCTTTATTATAGACCCAAAAATGCCAATTTTTGAATATTTATTGTGCTTCGAATAAAGGAGAATAAAAAAAATGAAAGAAAATGTTTTTAAAACTTTACCCTTTCCCCAAGCTATCGCATATTGAAATTCGTGAAATTTTAATTTTCGACGTGTTGCATTTTTCGTTACGATTTTTTTTCAAATTTCTGTAGAAGCATGTCATGGATTATGACACAGTAAATGATATATTATTTGGCATTTGTCTTAACTGATTTAATTAATCACCAAATTCGAACATTATGTTAAAGTTTCTTTAAATAGTTTTCGTTATCCTAAATTTATACAATATTTTATATATTTTCCTATATCAATGAAAGTAATTTCAGTAGCTATTAAAATAAAAGAATTTTGTTCAAGGGAAAAGTGCTATTTTACCAAACATTAAGTTTGATCTGAATTTAGTTTTATGAAAAATTCCTTGAAAATGAAGTTCATTTTCACAATGGAACATAAAACCATATAGAAAAGAAACAAGAATCCTTGTTTTTTCTCTTCTAGGATAAAAAGAAAACTGTTTATGAAACAAAATAAAAAAAAGCATAATAGTTTAAAGAAGAAGCAAAAAGAATATTTTTCTTTATTTATTTCGGAAACTTGAAACCGAGACAAAGTATAAAAAAGTTTTTTCATTCTTTTTACAAAATTTTAAATGAAGCTGAATTGATACGAGTATGTTGTACATAGAAATAATGTGTGCTTTGTTGTAGAGAGCATTGTGGAAAAATGGTTCATTCAAATAAAAATGACCTTGTTAAAAACAAAATGATTAATGAAATTTTATATTCAGTTTTATGTTTTGAAATTCCTGTAAAGTTTTTCAAGATGTTTAAGTCATTGATTAATTCAAGTGAATAATTTATAGTACTTATAAAGAATTTAGTTTTGTTTTAGTGTATTTTTGTTCAATGATCATATATTTTTTAGTTATTTTCTAGTTAGTGATATTAAATGAAATGTGAATGGAGTGGTTTAATTTAAAAAAAATATTGAGTATGGAGAAATTGGTCAGCTTTGTTTTATGCAACTAAATAATACCGGAGCGGGAAACGAAAAGAAGATGCCTGAAAAACTGCTTGCAGGACAGTATTATATAGGTGAAAAATTCTTAATACCTTATCCGAAAGAGGTGGCTGACAGCTTAATAAATCCGAAGAACTAATAAAGTTTTATGCTTCTTCCTTAAAAACCGTTTTCAATTGTTTTTTCCGCTCTCTTTATTTCAAAGATACAGAAGGATATTCAATTTTACGCTTTCATTTTCAGCAATTTTCAAACAAATTTGTTAAAATTTTTGAATTACATTATTATACCAATAACATTCTATGCAATAAGGAAAGCATTGTGATTGTACGAAAATTAATTAGGGGTGATTTTCAATTGAAATGAGCTTTTTATAATATCGGAAAAAAAGAAAAGAAACTATTTTCCTTGAGGTGTCAGTCTGATTATATTTCTGTCTATGTATTGGACAGGAATTAGACTTTTACGAACCACCTGTAGTTTTTGAGAATATTATATACCAGCTGCGTTAAAAAAATATAACAACTTCAGAGAATCTCTAAGGGGCACTCAGAAAATAGAAAAACGAGACTTCTGCAGAGAGCGTTTTTTACATTTTCCCTTGTGGCTGCCTTGCTGTAGAATAATGAAATTAATTTGTTAGAAATTCTAAATTTAATTCGAGAAATATAAAATGCAATCGATTATGTATCTGCCACATCAGATATTATTCATTTCATATTAAAGATTAAGTGAACATAATGATATAAAAGTATAGTTAGATTAGCAAGCAAAAAATCTCATTTTTCTTATTTACCCATTTGGCAGCATGTACGTGACACATAATATCTCTATAATTATTTTATTCCTAGCAATAACAACAGAATTTGTACACTCCAAAAAACTTAAGCATTGTGTCTTATGTTATGTTTGTATTTTGAAAATTATGATTAATGACTGTTGTAAGCATTTTTTACGAAAATTTTGAAATTTAAAAAAAAAAAAATATTTCATTTAAGAAATTGTATTTCAATTAAATTGTCTGAAATCAGTCTGCAAAAAATTATTTGTCTTTAAATAGATTTTCTTCTGAATATTCCAGAATTGAGGTCAATAAATTCAAAAATTCATTGATGGACAAGAGTTTTTTTGAGGTCATGGGAAATATATGATTATTATAATATTTAGGATTAGATAGCGTAAGAGAGGTTGAAAGATGTCATCTGGTTTTGTTTACTGAAATATTTCAACTTAACCTGAAAATTGAACAAAGAAATTTTATGTAGAGCAAAACAAAGAAATTGTGAGTAATAAAATGTTTTTGTCACTATTTATTTTTGACAATTGGCATGAAAAATATTGACATGAAAATGACATGAGGTCGTGACTGATTTTTTTTTTATGTCATTAATCATATAACTGCCTTTTAAAATTTTAAGCAGCATATTTTAAAAATCCTTTATAAATTGAAGCAGTAAACTTAAATTTAAAAGGTATGAAAAAACAATTTGAATGTAAAAACGTAATGAATTGTTTAAGGACTCGTAAAAAAAAAAGAAAACCAAATTCTTTTTGATTTCTCGGAAAGAGAAAGCGCAAAATAAACAAAAACTTACCCTTCCCTTTTTACTAATTTTATCGCATGATTCTGAAAATTTGTTCATTTGATGAAATAATTTTTAGTTCCCAAATATTTTACTCTTCTTCTTCTTCTTCTTCTTCTTCTTATTACAAAGCGGATGATAAATATTTTAGCAGATTATTTTTATTGTCAAAAATTCTTCAAAATCTTCTTTTGGATTTTTATTTTCTTTTTTGTTTGTTTTATGAAATTTGAAGAACTTTTTTTAAATAATTTTTACAACTTTCTAAATATTCCTTCACTTTGTTGTCCTTGTTTTATACTGAATATTTTTCTGAGCAAAAAAATATTCAAAAAGCTGTGGTCACAAGAAATAAGTAAGGAAGGTCATATGTGAGTTTACAAAGAGTGAGTAAAATTTTAAAGTTGCTAATAAAAAAAAATATTACGAAAAAATTGAGCTTCTGAAAAAGAGACAAATTATAAAAATTTAATATTAAAGATTTCTGTAACAAAATTTAAAATTTGATTTCATAAATTTAAAGGTGAATGAATGTTGACAGTTTTACATATTTAGAGTGATTTGAAAAAATGACTCTAACGATTTCTAAAAATTGAGTTAAACTTATGAAGCTGTGAGTGTAAACAGTGTTGAATAAAGTTGGCGCTCTTTGCAAATTAAGATATCTACTATGAATATTAATATGTATTCAATTTCAATTGATTATATTTATATATAAATGTAGTAGTAGAGAATTAGAAGTTTCGCAGTGATACAACCATTTTTGAAAATAGTTTTGTCGAATTGTCGTTTTAATTGGTATTAAATTATTTTAAAAGTTAGAGCTCCGCATTTTGAGCTGTTTCATAAAAAATTTAGTGTTTCAAAACATCGGTCGAAAGTTTAAATATTGAACATACTCTCGAGCAAATTTATTTAAGTCGGATTAAATTTTTTCTTACTGAGT